CGCTGCACGTAACACTGAAACCTCGAGGGACTGTCCCTACTGCTGTCCCTCCCTCTCTGGGATCCAGGGTCTTTCATTTACAAAGCAATGATAATGTCGTTTACAGGCCCAGTCCGTCTCCTGTCTAGACTATGGGCCTCTCTCTCAGGAGGAAGAACTCACTTCTCGGGTCCCCAGGTCCTGGTCTGCTTGAGAATGAACGTACCTGTTCATGAAGGGAGACAGTTGGAGGGGGAGGAGAGGCTGCAGACAAGGTTATGTGGGGAACAGGACAGAAGTTTCCTCTTCTCTGTACACTCAGAAAATACGAATTCTCCCAGTACTAGGGAGAATGTAGCGAATGACAAAGTTGCTTGGAAATTTTCTGAGAAGCCTTATGTAAAAAGCCACTTTTTTCCCCCAGTGAAGCCTATCAGAAAAGATCAGAGCAACTGTTATGGGGCAAGAGAACAATTTGCCAAGCGAGTTAATTAGCCGTAGGGTCACCAATGAATTACTTTTCCCTGGGCCTCAGTTTAAAAGAGTTTGGACTAGATGAGGCAAAGATCTATTTTAGTTAATTCTTCAGGTCTTTAGAAATTAAAACTGAAATAACTGACATCCAGAAGTAGAAACACCTCCTCTTGTTTTCCCTCGTGCTAGTATATCGTCCCGGGAAGCAATTTGCTAAGTTTATTCACATTTCACATTCACCAAGTTCTTCCAAGCTGTTAAAAGCAGGTGGGTTTACCACCCAGATTTTCCTGAGAGAAAATACATACAGTTGTATTGCTTTCTATGGCAGCTATAACAAGTTACCACACATGCAGCAGCTTGAGAACACGTTTGTTATCTTACCGTTCTACAAGTCAGAAATCCTAAAAATCACGATGTTGCCAGGGCCGCATTCTTCTTCGGGGCTCCAGGGGAGAAATCGTTCCTCACCTCCCTCGCCCAGCATCTGCACTCCCTCGCCTGCCGCCCCTCCCTCCACCTCCCAGGCCGGCTGCACAGGTGGGGCCTGTCACCAGTCACACTGTGGCCCTCCTGCCTCCCTCTTACGAAGACCCGTGTGATTCCTTTGGGCTCACCGGCACACGCCAGGACAAGCGCCCCATCTCAAGAACCACAAGCACACCTGCCAAGTCCCTTTTGCCACGTAAGATGACATGTACAACTTCAGGGACATGGGCATCTTTGGGGGCCCATTATCTAGCCTACCACAACGGTACAAATCATTAACTGACTAAAAATTCCCTAACTAAGCTCTAGTGCAGGGGCGTCCAGCCCACAGCCCGCAGGCCGCAGGTGGCCCAACACAAAATCATAACTTTACTTAAAACCCTTCTCTTGTTCATCAGTTTTCATTAAGTGTTTGTGTATTTAAGGTGTGGCCCAGAGACACCAAAAGGTTGGACGCCCCTGCGGCCTACCAGCCGTAGCTTGGCTGTGTGAGGAGTCTCAAGTGAAGATCTGCACTGACCATCTGCTGCTTAGGAAGTACGAAGGCAGGGGCCCTCACGCTTCACCAGAATCACCTGGAGAACTTGTTAAGGTAGATTTGGGGCCCCATTCCCATAGCTTCTGACCTGAAATTTCCAGATCTGCAAAGGGCCTCAAAGTTTGCATTTCCAGTAAGTTTCCAGTGCCGCTATTGCTGGTGGAGAAACAATCCCACCAAAAAAACAAAGTAGACAACATTCAACAAATAACGTTAGGTTCCAACACAGGGCTGGGAGTGTGAGGGGCTCCGGTGACCCGCTGGGGAGTACGTCAATATTTATTCTTCAAATGTATTAATTGTTCCTCCCTAGTGAAGCTGGAGCGGCTGACTCCTGTGGAGATGTGTGATGACAGGTTGGGGACTACTAAAAGGAGCATCTGTTATTAGCACATTAGTTTTTAAAAACCCAACGGAGAAATAAGACTAATTATATGCCTCTTTGCAATAAGATCTAGAATGAAAAAATAGGGGCAAAATGGCTTTAACTGCACTATTATATTCACACACCAATTATATCTTGCTTCAATATTTATTTTTATAGCAAAATAGACTAATATGTTCATTGCACATATATTATACTTAGTCATTTAAACTTATTTGCCCATTAAATGTACACACTTTCGCAAACCAGTGACAGGTTAAAAGAATTAAGCTCTTCTGAGTATACATTTCTACATTATTGATCATCAGACAACAGCACATAAAATTGCTTTTTTTAAAAAGATTTGTAATTTATTTATTATTTTTAGAGAAGGAAGGGAGGGAGGAAGAGAGAGAGAGAAACATCAATGTGTGGTTGCTGGAGGCTGTGGCCTGCAACCCAGGCATGTGCCCTGACTGGGAATCGAACCTGCGACACTTTGGTTCGCAGCCCGCGCTCAATCCACTGAGCTACGCCAGCCAGGGCATAAAATTGCTTTTTAAACTGTAAGATAATACTAGACAACTATTTATAGTACCATTCCAAAAAGGCCAAATTCCCAGTGCATTGCTTGAATTATAGGAAAACTTTCTAAGAAAATGTATTTATATAAATATGCTCCAAATGTTGGGTTTGTTAGGACTATTAAATCATACTAACCTCTGAATTTTTATTTAAAAAGACTTGCTATCTAAATGCTTTGCTAAATTTACTATGGGTAGCATTTGGATTGCTTCAGCTGTTAGCAACTCAGAAATATACAATAAATTTCTGGTTTATTACAGAGTAATTCTTCATCTGAACCAAACAGCATCATTCTATTCAGAACCTCTCCCTCTATTAACCACAAGAGTGAAACACTAAGGTGTTTTTACAGGAAAATATTTAACATTTGCATGGTAAAAATGCTTTGTATTTTGATATAAGAAAATTACTTGAGAACACAGTAAAAAGAAAAATTATCTCTCAATGGCTCAATACTCAATCTTTTGAGTAAGGTTTGACTGTGTACCCAAATTTCTTAAAACTCTTAATATATTAACAAATATTTCCCCTTTGTTTTCAGTGTGTTAGAAATTGAGTATACTGATAGTTGCATAACAGTTCAATTCTATACCAAGAAATTAAGTCGCTTACTTTTATTATATAACTGAAAAAAGCTAATATGGAGATATTCTGATATTAACAGAAATTTTTCAAAACTGTTAAGAAACATCCCTATATAGAAACTACTTTAATTTCTCTATTGTGCCACAAAACCAAATTATGCAAATGAAGCCCATCAGAGCTCTACCAATCTGTAAGTTGTTATAAATTACAGTATTTTATCTGTTTTCTTCCTTTGTCCTTTTTGTTTAACTCATGTGGGTTTAAGAGTTTTGTACTGTTTTTCATTTTGTGTTTATTTAAACCTGCTCTGGGAGTAGGTTTGTCACCTCCGGAGAACAGGCCTTTTCCAGGCCACCCGCTGGACCGAAGCGTGGTGGAACAGGCGTTTTTCTAGCAAAACTTCAAAACCATTAGATCCTTTCAAGAGACTTCACTCTGAATTCAATCACTACTCTTTAATAACTACTCCTATAAAATAAGTAACAAAAGTTTTGTCTCATTCCATGGTGCAATAACTTTAAGTGATTTCTAATAAACCAGGATAAAAAGTTACACAGTCTCTTTGCATTTATGACAGCAGTCTGACCTGCAAGATTTGCACTTTTATGAAAAATGAGGGACTGAGCTTCTATTTCCCATGTATTTGTCCACTTTTTCTCAGTTGATAAATGAGCAGATAGAAATGGAGAGCCAATTATCATGAAATCTGCACTAGTTTCATCCATGGACCCCCCAAACTGAAGACTGAAAGATTCATGTTAGGACAAACCCAGATAATCTAACTCTGAATTTCTTTGGTAGTATACACCTGCTCCGAAAGTGAATACTCTTTTTTTTTAATCCAAGTGTTTGGAGTGTAAATTTAAAATACACACACACACTGAAAATATCAACAGTGACAACTGAAATCAAGTTGTGGTCTTTTCACACAGTTTAAAAACTACCTATCAGTTCAGATAAAATTGCAGATCTATTACTGGGATTGTACACAGTTATAGCCATCATGGGTATACTACGGTATAGATTCAGAGCCAAAGGGTCTTAGAGATTTTAAAGGGTCCTTTTATATGACATACCACAAAGTCATTTAATGGAAGTTAAGGGATAATGATCAAATAATTCACCTAATAAGTAATTTTCAAAAACTCAGAACAGTCAGTCAGCCATACTGTTCTACAGTAAGTTCAAACACAATGACTCCTTTTTTATCATTCATTTCTACTATTATTAAAACATGTAATTTAAGATCAGTATATGGTTACTCTTTCCATCAACATATTGGAGAGAGTTTAGATTTACTCTAGTTTTTGAAAACTAAGCATTTTCATTTCTCAACTGTAGTGGAGTAATTGAAACGTTTTTGAAAATAGAACATGCAGCCAGACCCTAAATGACATCCACGTGACCGGGAGACGTCCTGTACGTGGGAATATTCGCCCCGGAACTGCTGCTTCCTCAGCTGGGTGCTGCGGACCTTCCGCTTCCTCCCTGGACCGTCCTCTACTTCCCACAGCATGCCCCGGCCAGTCCGAAGAACAGATAAGTGGGAACAGGAAAGCTACGGGCTGGACTGTCCATTCAGACTCCTCCACCCCGCCCCACCTCACAGCCGGCTTCCTGCTCACCTGGTCACATGTCCCATTCTGCTCCCACTCAACATCTGTAGCAAACAATGGGACACTCACTGAGGAACATCTTGGGTCGCTCAAGGAACACTGAGCTGTCTGCCTTCAATTGCTTGCAGACACTACCGAGCAGACACAGAAAAGTCCTCCTCTGCTCTCGCCACCAGGGAGCAGCAGGGAAGAAAAACTGCTGTATCTTTTCCTTGGAGTTCGATTACAGGGGCTGGGTCCTGTCCCCGTTTCCCATTCAGCCCTTATGGTTAAAATAAGCTTTGGGAGGACAAACCGAGAACGTAAGCACCCACTTAGAGTATTGTTCTTAAGGGCAAACATATCTCAATAATTCAACATACATCTGAACTTTGAGAGCATAATTTTTATTTCAGAACTGCCTGTAGTATTGTACAGAAAACAATGCCACGTGAGCAACCCAAGGACCCCTTCATGTGCTCTCTCAGGTTCTCTCTCTATCCGCCCTCCCCCAACACACACACACAAACTGCAAGCAACTGGGCTTCCTGATTTTTCCTCATTTTTCTCTAATTGTACACACAGGGGTAAATAGAACTCTTATCTATAAGAATCTGAAAAACTGACGTTCTTTTGAGAGACGTTTTCCCAGGCAAATCCCTAATGTTAACAATTTCGCTATTTTGAAACATCTATTCCTCAGCTCAAAAAAAGAGCCCCCTCCAATTTGGATATTTTAAAATCAAACTTTAAACTGGAAACAGACAGTTTTAGCTTGTTCCACATAAAATCTTGAGGAGAAGCAAATTCCTTAAATTTATAAAGAGTTCCTTTACAAAAAGACGTTTTAGTCTGACTTTAAAAACGACCCATAGTAAACAATAATTCTTGTTTCCACGTGTCCATACAAAATCCCAATTAAACCTGAACTTAATAAGCTGCAGCTGACCTCCAGTTTTATAGTTTAATACATATAAAGCTTTATAATATATATAACATATACATTTAAATTTTCTTAAGGTTGCGAACATTACCATACCAACCCATTTGAAATTTACTGTTTTTTTCTGACAACAAAAGCTTCCCAGAAAAGCTGGCAGCGCCAGCAACGCAACACCCTCCTCTGTGTTTCTGCCTGGACCTTGCTCTTTCTGGAAGATTCTAAGGAAGCACGGGTACAGCTTCTGTTTTAATCCTGCCAAAAGGTTTCAAAGGCTAAACTCTAGGGCTTTCTCGATGCTTCACAGTCGATGTTCCGGGAAAGAATGACGACGGCGGTTGCAGGCAACATCCCGGATGAGATGCTAAACTGAGCATTCCGTGCTCACGAGCGCCGACCGGACCCTTCATCAGAAGACCCCCACTCACCAGGAGAACAAACGCCAGAGACGCCAAAATTTGTCGCTGAAAAGCACTGGTTTATAACCTACTTTTGGTCAAAATGTACATTTTGGTAATTTGGATTTGAAATGAATGAATAATATCAAGGGACCAAAAGACACTAAGGTGCCGAAGCATGAGTTTGGCAAAGAGGAACCCTCTCAATTCGGACAGGGTAAAACTGTGAAACCTCAACGTTTTAGAGTTCCCTCTTGAAAAATCACATTATTTCAAAGTCTATATAACATAGATTTGCTTTTATTCAGAAACACTTTCGCAGTCACTAATGGCAACTGAAAGTTTAAAAACTTAAAAGGGACGAGAAAAGGACAAGGTCTGAGCAGCGTGGTCAGACCGGCAACACTGGAAAAGCAACGTCAGCACAGCCAGCCCCCAGCATCTCCCGTCACCCACCTGTAACAGCGGGACACCAACGCGCCACCTGGTGCTGCAGGCTCTGTCCCACAACGGGTTCTTGTCGGCCGGGCGCTTCCGAGTGCTTCGGCCCGACAGAAAAGCCTTCTTAAAATACCCACCACGGAAGGAAAACAGATCACCAGAAGCACCCCGGTCCTTCACGTGGTGCGGAGATGGGAACTACTGCCACAGCAGAACGTTCACCCCCTTCTCCTGAGGAGCTCATCCTCAGTACCTACACTGAGGTCTACTGCTCTTTGCACAGCACTCTTATTAAAGACGGTTTCAGATTTAAAACTGATATTGTGTTCCTAATGACGGATGTGCTCACGTGCCATATTCCTCCTCGCTAACACTTCCTGCGTCCCCCACTGCAGTGGCTGGCTGCGGGGTGCTCGGGGCGAGGCAGACCCACAGTGTGAAGGAAGCCCGTCTCACACAACCGCCACCACAGACTGAGTGGTCACGGCAGCAAGCGGCACCGCGTTAGGAGTCAACACGGGAACTGGAGACACCCCTAGGATAGCGTAATTGGAGGAAGAGCCCTGGATCTGACATTCTGCTCCGTGTTTTGGAGAAGCAGCCTCAAAAGAAGGAAGAACGGGATGGCCCCTCCGCTGACCCGCTGACCTTTGGGCCAGCCCCTACCGGCTCGACTCCCACTGTGACAAGGCCATCTCCAGCTGGGCCGGAGGCGACACTCTCCCCCTTCAGCCTTGTTCTGCCCACTGTGCGGGGGAGGGGAGGCTGGGATGCTAAAAGTGACCTGGGGAGAAGTTGGGGGTTAGGGAGCTAGCACCACAGCAACCTCTGGGAGCCCCACAAGTCTGGGCTGTGGTTTTGGGAGAAGGGGCGAGATTCTTCTCTTCTTTCAACAACAGCAAAAATAATAAAGTCTCCTCAAGGCTCCTTTCGATGATAATATAAACTTGATTTTATTTGTTAAAAATTAGAGGTTGAGGTGGAAGAACTCCAAAGAAACAATGGGTCACCAGCAGTGACAGGCCTTGAACTTCCTGGGGAGACCTACCTCTGGGGGGCGGGGAGCCCCAAACCCCCAGCCCCCCACGCCCCATCCCAGCACCTCCATCGTCTGAGCACAGAGAACACTGAACTCTGTGAAAACAAAGGCACCCGGCACCAACCGCCCTGCACGTCCACTGCGCGAACTTCTGTCTGGCCCTCCCACGTGCTCTGACTCCTGACCTCGTCCAAAGCCCTCCCTTCTGCTACTGTTACCGTTCCATCTGCGAAGCAACACGTCCGTTAAAACTCCGACTCACTGGTTTTTTTAACAAAGTGCTTAAACCCATCCTATGCAATTGTTTTTCCTCTCGTTTTCAACCAATAAAATCAAACTCATCGAGGTTCATGAATAATACTGAAAAAAAGTGAATCCGATGATTCTCTCCCATTTTTAAATAATGTGCCTTCATTCCCAGCTTGCCCTTCACTGACTCCCATCCGTACCTTAGTGAGTTGAACTCTTGTTCGGAAAATACAGAAGGTACAAATATATAGAATTTTTAGGATAAAAAATTTTCTGAATATAAAAATGCTTTCTAAATGTCTCAAAATAACACTTTTAGATTCTTCTTGTAGTTTGGATTTGATAACTAAATTGTTAGGTACCCAAGGTTTTTTAAAAAATATCAAAAGATAATAACATGGTTTTAAATACAAAGTTACAAAGGAACCACTCGTGTTGGTGGATTGTGCTCACGGAAAGTTCAGTTTCTCAACAAGAAAACCCCACATAGTTTAGCCATAAAATAAAAATTCCATTAGCAAAACCTTTAAGAGAGAAATCTATGTGTGTTAATGATTGCCAGAGTTGCACAGCTTCAGTAAAACACAGAATTGTCCGGAAAACACAGCCTCCGAGAGCCGTGCAAGCGCCGCACGCCGGACAGACCGGGGCAGGCCGGGCCCTCGACGCCACGCCGCCGCCTGCCTCTGTGTCTTCCCGGGTGGAGCCCCAGGTGGAGCGGCCTGCGGCCCGCGCTCCGCACCATCCTCGGCGCACTGCATTCACACTGCGCCTGTTCCCCACGCAGCCAGCGCTCTGCGTGGGCGCGTCGAGCGGGGAGTGTGAGTGGGGCACTGCGCCCTTTTCCTACTGTAAACGCTTCACATGGTGGGGTCCCCTCCGGAAGCCGCGGGAGCTCATATGAGCCTGGAGCTTTTCAGAAACTGGATGAGAACTCTGTACACGAACGTGTACTGGACCAGGGTCTGCACCAGCATCATCCTCTGCTGCCGCAGCATGTCCAGCACCCGTGGGATGTCTAGCACCTGGATTGAGAGAAACAGCGATGGATGAGGGGGATGCACTCCCGGAGAGAGAAGGGGGTGGGGGAGTGGGTGTCCGGGCAGAAATCTGGTTAGCTGGGCAGCAGACGGACAGTCTCCTAACCTGTCTACCTCCACATCTTCTCTATATTTTAGAAAGACGGGGACCTTCTGGCTCTCTGAGCAGCCCCATGACGGTGGGCAAGCACAAGCACCTCACAAAAGGCAGCAAAGGGAGCCAAGAAGTGGCTGATCCACTTTCTAAGAAAAACTGTTTGATGTGAAAGTACCAGTTGCATCAATGTAAGAAACACAGAAAACACCAGTCGCCAGAACTCCAGGAACAAAAATCGCATCTGATGGTCTCTCACGGGTCATGTTTTTGAAGTGAGCCTACCTGATCTCCAGAACGTGAAGATGCATTCGGAAAATTCGAGCTAATTTCTGAGGATGTTTAAGGCAAAAACCGCCTAACTAATTTCCATGGCATGGATCTTACCCGTGACAAAACGTGCTCCAGCCTCAAAAAACGGCAGACCCGGACTGAAGCTCAAGGTGTCACGATACCAATGGTTATCTGCTTCACCTGTTCTGTGTTGGCTTTACTAAAGACACAATGATCGGATTCTGAAGACCGCTATGCTCAGCATTAACAGGGCCACCAAATCCAGAACGTGACGACGGAAATCATGACCCGAGGGGTGCAGACACATGACTAGAAAAAGCTAGTCAAGCCCTGGCTGGTGTAGCTCAGTGGATTGAGCGCGGGCTGCGAACCGAAGTGTCACAGGTTCGATTCCCAGTCAGGGCACATGCCTGGGTTGCAGGCCATGTCCCCCAGCAACCGCATATTGATGTTTTTCTCTCTCTCTCTCTCTCCCTCCCTCTCTCTCTCTCTCTCTCTCTCTCTCTCTCTCTCTCTCTCTCTCTCTCTCCTTTCCCTCTCTAAAGGTGGATGGATAAAATCTTTAAAAAAAAAAAAAACAACTAGCCGACAAACTGATTCTGGGCAGCACTGGAAAGACACAGAAAGGGCTCGCCAGGCTACTCGTCGGCTCCACCCCGTCTTCGTTAGAGAAGTCGAGGTGCTGACGCGGCCCAGGTTCCAACTGGGAAAACGCATGGAGCTTCGCGGTGGAGGCGGCAGTTCTGGAAAGGATACTGGGGACGAGACAGGCGCTAAAGGTGAACGAGCTGATGGACGTGAGTCCCCCGTCAGAGAATCTCCGTGGAAGTCAGATGCAGCTTACCGGTGACGGAAGAAATCCTACTTGGGGGGAACCCCAAGGAACTTCATTCGGAAGGAGCTCTGAGGCCACTAGCTCCTCCTCTTCCCCAGGCGCATCCCTAGCCCCTTCTCCCCCCACCAGGAAAGGAAACACGCACCTCGTTGTGCTCCAGACAGGCGATCATGATCTCCGACAGGATGACCACGCCGGTCCGGCCCACGCCCGCACTGCAGTGCACCAGCAGTGGGGGGTTGGGGCTCTTGGGTTCGCTCGTGCTGTTCGTGTGGCGGCGGACGGACTGGATCTCTTCCAGGTACGCTGCGGGACAGAAAAACACTCAGGGTTCAAGGACCATCGGATCGGCCCTGCTCAGATGATCTCTGCTGACAGAGAGGACTCCAGACAAGGGGCACCGGGCCCCAGTTAACCAGACCCCCCGCTGACCACTAGTGTGACCTCGGAGAGTCGCCCACCCCGCCCGGGGCCTCCATTCTCTCACCCACAAAACCCACTGGAGGAAAAACTCCCCCAGACTCACTCACAGCGTTGTGCTCACTACCCAGTTCTACCTAAAGACCTCCTGCTAACATACAGGAAATATTTCAGGAAAGTAAGCCGTCCCCTCCCCCCGCCGCAGCTGACGCGACAGGCCCGGCAGAGGCCGTGCCGGCGAGGAGGACACTCACATAAAAACCCCTTGAGGTCGCCCGGGCAGCCGTGCTCCGGCCAGTCCGTGTACTGGAGGTGCCAGACCGTCCTCTCCTGGCCCGTGAGCAGGTGCTTCATCTTCAGGCCCGTGGTGGCGTAGCAGCCGGAGTCGGTGCGGAAGCGGGTGGTGATCTTGAACCTCCCGTAGGTGACGGTGTTGTGCCTGGAGCCCAGCCGCGGCCAGTACCTGAAGCTCTTCTCCCGTCCTCCCTCCTGTCGCAGACAAGCACACGGACGGTCAGAACCTCCCCCCACCCCACGAGATCTGGCCACGCGTGGCCTTTCACAGCTGGCGCGTCTCAAATCCAGAATCAGCACCCCCACCTGACTCTTTCTCTAAAGGTCAGGGTCCTGAGTGAGTGACACTAACTTTGCATCCAAGGCTAGGAAAACCGACGAGAGAAGGGAGTGCTTACCTCTTCCGCCGTCACCATGGCAATGATGGCAATTCCCTGTTCCCACACCATCTGCCAGAAGTCCTGACAGGTGTTCTGCAAGGGCCCCTGGGTGGCGATGTAGTCCCACTCAACCCCGCTGACCGAGACCTGGCGTGAGAAAGGGTGCAGAAAACTAGCATGTGTATATGTATGAGACACGCACACACATACATTTGTTTGTGGTAAGACTAAAAGTGAACTAAATTATTCAGAATAAGGAAGGGCTTTCCTCTAACCCTTTTTCCTTGTCAGTGCGGTTTCCGTTCCTGACATCGCTGTAAACTTAGGCACTGTGAATTCACAGTAGATCTGTGTGACCTGGAGCGATTCGCCTAAGCTCTCCGTGTGTCAGTTCCCAAGTTAAGGTGGAAGCGCTGCCCACCCTCGTGGGGCTGCTGCCGGGACCGCGCCCAACAACATGCACCAAACGCCATCGGCACCCAGGAAACAGTTGTTCCTGCCGCCGCTGCTGCTGCTGCTGCGGTTCTTCTTCTCGGAGAAGCAGTGTCAACGTCACAGCGCCCAAGTTTCAAACACGGTCTCCCCTCGGGGAGGAGGGGAACTAGACACACTGGAAAAAGTACTAGCAATCAAGCCAGAACCTAAGCTAAATGTCAGATGTCTAGGAGACAACGATCTTTCTCTGCAAGCAGGCCTCCCCGCCCACCTGCTGAGTGCAGCCCACCCTCCACAGTGACACCGGGCCGCCCCTTCAGACCCTCCCTCCTGCAGGACAGTCTGAAACAGTCGTCCATGCGGTCAGGGCATCCGGGTTGACTCTCAGCTGCACTCTCACTCACGGACCGCAGTGACCTTCCTGAGTGCCCACTGAGCGTGCCAGGCACTGGCCCACCCCTGCTCTCACTTAAGGCCACCAGTCACAGCGAACAAGAACCAGGGAGGAAGGGTCTGGTGGGAGCTTCGGGGCGAGGCATGCCTGCATTTCTTTCTTCAAAAATAAACACCCTCGTGAGGCCCCACGCGGGACAGCGTAGGTCCGGCAATCCCAAAGCTCCACCGCCACCCCTCCTCAGCTTGCCTGGGAAGGTTCCAAAATGCCACTACAGAACTATAACACAACACTGTCCAGTTCCAATCCATCCGCACAGGAGAGACTGGGAGAGTCACTCCAGAGAAATGCCCACTGTTTAAGGAGACTGGGCCGTGTCACAAAGCGCGTGCACAGAGCTCCAAGGACCATTGAGACATGGCCGTTCCCAGGCAAGCTGCCAGGCCTTGGGCGTGAAACTGCTCTCATCAAGTATCGCTCGCAAACTAAATAAAATGGGGGGGACAACACCGGCCCATAGAGTCCAACTCATTCACGCACTGGAGGGACATTTCCCTCCCGCAGTGAGGAGCCGCCTGTGCCCCCCGGAACAACGCACACAGCGATGGAGGAGACGGGCGTGGGCTCCCCTCACTCCCTGTGGTGAATCCTCCCTCTTCCCCTTTTAATGGGGTGCAACGTCACCCCAGAGAAATGGCGTTACAGCATTTCCAGGAAATAAGCGGCACTGCTCCTTCAAAGAGCAAAACAATGTTTAAGTGAAAAGAGATCACAGGGAACATGCAAAGGGAACAGATGGCACCATCGTAGGTAAAAGCTTTGGGGAAAACACCAAAAAACCCAGACACTTCTGTTTCACAAAAATGCGTGTAGGTGTGTCGTGAGAAAAAAATCAACCCTGTTTATAAACTCTCTCAGAGGCGGTGGAAAGCAATCTTCGGAAACTACAAAGGCAAAGTTCTGAAACAGGGCAGGTGAGCGCTTCACGTGCTAACGCCGCGGTGGGGGGCGGGACTTGGGCTCTGCCCACCACCACTTTCCTCCCAGCCCCGATGTATGGCTTTCCTCGCTGACAGCACACAACAGGTGCAGAACCAGGGCGTTTTCGGAATACAACCACGGGTATGATTCCAACAGCCTTGTAATGGAACTCAGAGCTTCACCTCCCACCTATTATTCCAAACGCGCCGCTCACCTTAATATGCGAGGCGTTGATGTAACCGGTGTTGTTTTCTTTGGTCGGGACCAGCTCCACTCTGGCGTCGTCGTAGGGAAGCACATCTTGGAATCGGTTTCTTTCTGCGTTTTCGGGGAGTCGTGCCGTGGAGCACTCGCCGTTCACCAGCCGTTTTTTAAGGATTCTCTCGTACTCGGTGAACACCATCCCCTGTTCTAACCGTTGTTCCAGAATTTTACACTGCAAGACAGGGCATGTGGAACGGCAGGGTCGCACCGCCGCACACTGCGGCCGCGCTTCCACGGTACGTCCGAAACCCTGTGCTCCGTTCCCGGTCTAGCACGATCTAACGCTGAAACCGAAGTCCAATTTTTACCAAGCCACAACATTAACAGATGAAACAATCTTATGGGTGAGAAATACATGCAAAGTCCTGTTCAAAGATGAAAAATAGCCGCAAACAATCTGTTGAATTCATTTTCTCTAAATTTATGATCAGTCTTGCGACCCCTATGAAAGGGAGAAATTCCCCTGAAGAACGGTAAGTCTTCGCGTAGGATAATCAGTTCCAACATCCGTGAGCAAATGCTTCAATTTTGTAATACATAATTATATAAAAAACTGACAATAGTAGTCGATATTGGAAACCATCTCCAGGGTCCAGTGGTAAGCAAATTAATTTCTGCTTAGCATAATTCGTGCCTCTCTTGGTCACAAAGGAAGTTTTTTGAAAACTTCAGTGACCGTTCACTATCTAAGTTTTCAGTGCAATGAGAACAGTCAGCGTCTGCTTTCTTTCCCGTGTGCGCTCTGGACCTTTGCAGGTCTGCTCTGACTGTAAGGCCGTCAGAAATCAAGACCCCCGCAGGGGGCTGGAAGACGGTGAAGAACAACGTTCACACACACACACACACACACACACACACAGAACATAAGAACATTCTGGCCTGAAATTATAAGACACTAGCTAAAAATTAGCCCCAATTTTGAAGTCCAGATGATAAAATTCCTTAACACTTGTCTGTGGTCACTGAACGTGTCAGGGAAGTCACTAAGATCTCAGGAAGCAGTTCTGCAGCCCTTCACCCACTGCCCCCTGGGAGGGGGGCACGCAGCCCTGCCACGTACATACATACCCTCTCGTCATTGGTGGCTCTGGCACATGCTTCCTTCCCTTCGTCAGGCAGAGGCAGGCGAGACAGGGAGAGGCCGTTCAGGGCAGCCAGTTTGAGAGGACCCACTTTTTTTGCATCTACTCGGCTCTTCTTCATTCCCTAGAAAAATATTGATGTGTATGTATGAAATATATACAAATGCAACCCGTTGGAAGAGAAACCTTCAGAAACAGACTGAAGACTGGAAGCAAAGAGAGGAGGAGGTACACTCCTCCCCACCCGCACCCACGGGCTCCAGACGAGCGTCAATAGGGAGGAGGGCCTTCCTCTCCAGGCCAAGGCCCTGATACGTCTCCCAGATAGAAGAGGGTTTTGAAATGCAGCTGGTTTCGGGGTTCTGTGCTAATGAAAGGTGAGGCTCCAGGCAGATGGCATTCCCACACAGAACCCCCAAATTTCAAAACAGGGCGTGCCAACAAAATCAGCTGCTGTCCTTAGAAAAGGGTTTTCGATGCAATCAGCTGATTGCAATACGCTTTGGTGATTTTTTAAAAAATATAAAGGGAGTCCTTTACACCAGTCTGAAGGAGGAACTATTCTCTGTGTTGTGTCCTACGTTACGTTTCAGACAGTGTGGCCTAGATCGGATCACCTCACCTCTCAGAGCTGCCATGTTTTTAAGCCAGGACAGTAAAACCAGGGCCAAACAACGCTCCATCACGACAGCAGGAAGACCAGGGGCGAGGCAGCAGCGCACCCACGGAAGCTGCCTCCTGAACACAGGCGCTCCCAAACTCACTGTTAAAGCCAACGCTTTTCTCCCCTAAGGCAAGTAAGCCCACGAATGCTGTTTCCTTAGCTGTCCTACACCCCCTTGCAAGTCACAAGTTGACAACAACAGTAGCCCCATTTTCAAAGTAATGGTTTCCTCAGCTGTCTTGTAGATGAAACCAGCTCTACCAGCCTGGGAGGGAGGGAGGGAGGGAGGGAGTGGTGGGGAGACGGGAGCAGAGGGAGAGAGAGACTGAGAGGTTGCTGCACAGGCGAAAATGCCATGATTCCAATGTGTGCAAAACACAGCAAGCTGTTCGACAAGTGGCTGTCCACTGGGGGAAGCTCTGATGCATAAAGTCTGCCAACTTCCGTGGCGCAAACACTCCCACTCCAGCCAAGTTCAAACTGAACACCAACTGAATCACACGAGTCCTGAAAATTTTCCAGTCAGCCCCCACCAGCCAGTACAAGGTAGTTCAAAATGCCCCAGCATGGACACGCAGGAGGAAGCTGATTGGCTGTGAGGTCAGCTCCAACGCCAGCATTTGACGAAAGGGGCATATAGTCAAAAGCAGCCTCCGATACCCCTTGCGTAGCCCTCAGAGTACCAGCATGAGGTTTAAATGCACAACCTGCACAGCGCTCTCTTACGTGAGAACCACCACACAAAACTAAGGGTGCAGCAAAAAGAAAATCTCAAACCAGTCCACCTTTCTCAGATAGCAATCAAAGCCCTGGAGGTGGAGATGGGTGGAGAATGCTGAAGTGCTCCTGCGTGTCTGCAATTTATTTCACCGTTTTTAATACTGAACCTTAATGCGCATCAGTATGTGAACTGAGTTTCTCTGTTGTAACAGTTAAAACAGTATCATGCAACAGGGCTGAGCGCTTCAGTCCTCGGGATGCCAGTAGGTTAAACGTGAGGATGCAACGCACAGCAGTCAGTTAAACGGGAGCACTTGCTGTGGGCTGGGCTCTCGCCACGTCCCTCCAACAACTCCCTGAGGTTACTGACAAGAGGAAACTGAGAGATTAAATAGCTTGTCCAAGGTCACATCGATGCCTCCTCATTTATTTGTGTATGTGTGTGTGTGTATATATATATATATATATATATATATATATATATATATATGGTAACTGTGTCACAACAAGAAGAACCACCTTCATTGAAATCAGTGCCGCTGCACCACAGAATTCTGAAAGCATTTTTCATGCCTATCCCGACAGAGGACACATAACACAACCCGCCACGGCAGGCAGAGCAGAGACGACTGACCGTCCCCGTGTGGCAGATGGAGAAGCTGAGGTTCTGGTGCAGGCAGGGTCCGGCCCACAGGGCAGGGAACTAATAAAAAAGGCAGGCTCTGGGCTCAGACCCGGTTCTCCCACTCAGGTCCTGCACCCTTCCCCCTGCCACAGCTCCCACGCACGCTCTGTGAGTGAGGAGAATCCCTCATGGGGAAAAGAAGGGGAACAAAAGCATGATCCAATCACTTAGTTTTATTAATACCGTAGGTCTTAAAAGTCAGTAATAAGGAAAGTTTGTGTTTTTAGAGAGCCAAAGTGACCAAAGTCCTCAGGTTTAGCAGAACTTTCTAGGCCCATGAAAACGGCCCATGAAAACAGGCTTGAATACTGGACTGCACTCAAACAAGTACCACCTGGGGAGAAGACTGGGGTCACCTAAAGTGATGGACAGTTCCTGACGTAATAAGAATATTAACCACGGAAGCAGAGTTGCTTTGGAAGACACACCCCCACCCTGCCCCCACCCTCAGTCACTGATTATGAGCCCACACTTTCAGCCAGTCCAAGACACTGGCCTTTACTGTTCAGCTAGGTAAGTAAGAATGTACTCCCCTCAAAAAAAAATTAAAAGTAAACTGAAAATTTGAAACTGAAGTTCATTAAAAGAAAACACGTTTAAATCCACAGCACTGTTGTAAGGAGCTGTAGTTTATGTGTCCTTGTCTGTTTCACAAGCACAGTAACAGTGTGTGGATTTTCCCTACTTATGAAGACGTCCACAGCATCGCCGAGAGCCGCACCTGCGAGGGGCCCTGAGTCTGACTTTGCCGTCCGGCGGAGATGAGGCGTCCGAGCCGCCGGGACACTGGGGGCGACTGGGAGACGGACTGGTTAGGTCAATGCGAGTCAGGTTGGCCAGACTGCAGGGCATGGGGAGTGCGGGCACCGGCAATGCAGCAAGATGACTCGCAGTGGCCAAGCTGATGTGACAAGGTCACCAACGCTCGGCGACTCACAAGTTAAAAGGTTTCAGTGGATAGAGAACAGCAAAGCTTAGATAAGCGATTATTACTTAACAAAACATTATATACAATACAACTGGATGCAGAAGACTGTAGCAAATAAGAGGACAGTTGCAAAGATAAACGTGGGTTTAAAATTCCAGTCCGGTCCCTCACTAGCTGCGCGACCTTGGGAAAGGTACTTAGTATCTCAGGGTGGGTGTACTCCCTCATCGGCGAGAGCGGGAGGCCTGTTCAAACCGCACAAGGTGAAGCAGGGCGCACGCTGGGCACAGCGCGCTGGAAATGGCAGCTAGAGACGACGCTGTGCTTTTATCCTTTGCTTCCAATCATTAGCTCACGGTTATTTATTATACTCACTATTGAACTTCTCAGCTGTGTTTTCTACAGGGAACCTTCCTTGTGTTCTCAGTTCATTCCATCTTTCTTTTAAAGGGACCTGCGCTTTCTTGATAACGTGCCACCTTCCCGACTCCAGGGTCACACTCCAGCTGTCCCAGACCACGGCCCAGCACCTGCAGCTGCATCCACGCGACTCCAACACCAAGACACGTTAGGGACACCCCCTGGATGCTGCTCTCGGACATTGCTCCAGCAAACCAGCAAACGGAACACACGCAGCCCTGGGCTGCTGCACCGGCCAGGGGGGGTTGTTAACAGGAGCCAGCAGAGCAACCTGGGCTCAAGTCACCAAAGCTCAGCTTCCTTCCCCCTCACGCTGCATTGCCGAAACATTCCACTCATTCTTTCTGCTCCACTCCACAGAGCTTCCAAAATCTAATTATCCCTACAAAAACCACTAAAATCTAATCAATCTCTAGTATTTCCATAGATAATCAAACTCAAATGTGTTCCAAATAAGACAAAAATACAGTAGAGAGGGGGAGGGGATAAAAGCAGTTAAAAGAAGAAAAGCTGGAAACGTCAGAAGTGGTGAGTGGGAGAAAAGACCCAGGGAGGCCAGCAGGCGTGGAGAAAAGGCAGGCTGAGAGGCCGTTCAGGGCTGGCCTGAGCACCCCTGCACGCGGAACACTCACCCCCAAGGGCGGCAGTCCTTCCACAATGGTCTTCTTTCCTGAGAGGAGGTCGGACACCGGTCTCTTCTTCAGAGAATCCCTCCTGGCCCGGTACCGCCCCGACGTGGTGAGGTCAGACTCGGACATGGAGGGGGTGAGCAGCCCGTCTCTCCGGGGCCGCTGGGCCTCCGCCAGCCCGTGCACGGGGCTGCCCTCCCTCGCCCTCCTCTCGGCCTCTGTGACCTGGGCCTTGGGCTCAAGAATGTGCAGAGGACCCACGCCCGGAGTGACCGAGGCGCAGGAGTAGCCCGCCTGCGGCTCCTGGGAGTAGCTGCCCCGGGGCTCCCGCGCCCGCTGGGGGAGCACAGCCTGCACTCTGTGTTCCTCGAAGTCTTCCTCCTCCTCCTCCTCCTCCTCCTCCTCGCTGCTGTGTATCAGCATGGTGGCCTCCGAAAGAGACTTGTTGTGGCCATATCTCAGGCCTTCCTGCTCGGCCGCCTCTCCTCGCTGCTTCGTTCTGTCGGTGAAAACGTTTGGCTGGGAGCCTGCGGAGCTGGCCCGCGGGGCCACGTCCGCGGCTGAGGCCGACATGGTCCTCTCCTTGAGCCTCATGCCCTCGAAGCCGTGAGTCAGCCCCGCGATCTCGATGCTGTTCCTCTTCTGCAAGTGAGCGTGCCGGGCCGCAGTGAGCGGCTCGCTGACCTCCTGCAGGGAGTGAGCCACCGGCAGGCTGTCCTCCTGGAACGTCTGGACCGAGTGGTGCACGCGCCTGGTGATGAGATCCGGGTTGCTGCTGCTGATGTAGAGGTGGCGGGACAGGTCCGGCGTGCTGTTGGCGGGCCTCGGGTACGGGTAGGGCGGGGGCGGGCGGTACACCTGGGTCTTCATGATGTTCGGCGCCGGGTACTCCTGGGCCTGGAGCTGCACGTTGGTCAGCTCGGGCACGCTGACGGCGCCCACCACCGGCCGCCTCTCCGTGGGGTAGGGGTAGGGGGACTGGCTGTGGAAACTGTAATTCAGACTGAAGGGGCAGTGGGCCGACTGGGGCGAGGCAAAGTGGGCGTGCTCCCGGATCTCGGGCTGGCTGTAGACCAGAGCGTCGGGCCTGCTGTAGGCGTAGGAGCTGCCGATGCTGAGGTTTCTCAGCGAGTGGCTCTGCCTCTCCGCGTGCACCAGGCCCCTGTTGAGCTGCTTCATCACCGTCTCGTAGTCCGGGGTCGGGCGGTAGGAGGGGGGGATCAGCGCGCTGTGCCGATGTGACGGGACGTAGTCGGGTCTCACGACGTCGCTGCCCGTGATGCTGGGGTTCGAGGACATGGGCGAGGGCTGCAGGTAGGGCTGCGGGCTGTTCAGGGAGTTGGTGCTGTGTGCACTGTAGACGCTGCCGTTCCGGATGCGGCCGTTGAGGTCCATCTGGGCTCGGTCCAGGCTTGTCTGAGAGTGGCAATAGTAACCGTTCTGGTTGGTCACGAAGAGGTTATCTGGGGAAAAACATTTAAAATATATTTTAAAATGAGATTTTTTAAATGTATTACATTGGGCGAAATACTACAGACAGATACTGAGACAGGCCTTGAATGCTGATGACATTTTCAGTGTAGCTTGCGACACTGCCTGCTGAAACAACCTGGCTTTCCCCGCGCACGCCGAGTGACCCCGGCAGGTCGTCTCCTGGAGCTGCGGCTTCCTCACCTACAGACTGGGGGCGGCTCTGCCTGCTCCAAGGACGGTCTTGGCACGTGGCACCCACCGAAGATCAGCCAAACCTAAGTCCCATCTTAAGAGTACGGTTGTACCACCAAGCACTGTCTCTTTCTGAAAGGCAAAAATGTGTTCTACGAGAGGTGACACAGACTTCCTGAAACTCTGGGGAGCTAGAGGCAGGGACGCCACTGCAGGCACAGGGCCACCGCCTGTGCTTTCTCCCTGGTGGGGATGTGGCCCACGGGTGCTGAGCCAGTTCACACACCAACTGGCTGTGAACACTTCCTTAAATGAAACTGCGGCTTGTTTGTACAGGTTCTTGCAGGATGAACAGAAAAGGCACTGGTCCGGCAGAACCTGAGCTTCCCCAGGTCCGACAGTGTCACCCGTAGCTGCCCGCCTCACCAGGGGGCAGAAGCCAGGAAGAGCCATGCTAAGCCAGCCACCCCTGCCCCTGTCCCCTCGCTCCAGTGAGACTGGGATCCGCCGCTCAGAATCAGGAGCGGCTGCGTGGGTAAGCGTACACCTGTCCGGGGCTGGGAAGAGGCATTTTCCTCCAGCCCATCTGCAGTTCACCTGAGACATGAATGAGGGTGACTTCTCACACTTCAAGAAAAGCAGCAGTCAAGTCCTTCAGAGAACAGCCTTTGAAAAGCATTCTTGTTGTGACTCCAAAGCCTCGTGACAATTTAAGTGACAGCTGATTTTCGAAGTGAATGCAGCCCAGGCTGGCGTGGGGACTTCACTCTGGTGGCCAACAGCCACAAAGGAACGGGACTCCGAGATATCACCACACCCTCCCTGCTGATGCACGACATTTGTTTGTCCCGGTACCCTACTGTGCCTTGGACACGTGGGATCTCGGAGTCAGGAGCACTCCCTCTTCTTGCTGCCGGCACAGCTCAAGCTCCCCAACTCCAGCCTGTCTGGACTAGCCCAACCCCGCCCACTGGCCACCCTGCCTTCAGCTCCTCTGTGCATCCCACAGACCATCCATTTCTGAGCTCATATAGTAAAACACTACGTGAAGAACTCAAGGGGGGAAACGACTGGAATCCAGTCAAATGAAAGGGCTGGGCTGATGGCGTCAGAGAAGAGACGCTACGGCCCTGGGGAGGCCTCGAGGGACAGGTGGGGGGTAGGCACACCCAGCTGTCATCGGTGGCTGGGACCACTTCCCAGGGCATGGGGGATGGCGCCTCCTCACGACCAGAGGTCAGGCGCCACCATGGGACTGGTCATGGTCAAGGGAACGTGAGCAGAGGGCGGACAGCCAGGTTCCGGGCTCCCTTGCCCCTGCCGATCTGACCAGCCACATTCCAGTGGGAAGCAGGGTCCTCCTGCCAGTGCACGGAGGCCAGGGAACCTGAAACCTGCTGAGCAAGGAGTCACCTTGACCGTGTGGGCCACGGAGAGTTTAGAACTGTTTGTTCGCACGGCACAACCCGGACTGTCCTGACCGCTGGACTGTCCTGACCGGATGGAGGCTGGCGGGATACGGGCATGCTGGGGGACGGGGCTGCAGGGGCAAGGCCGGACCTTCCTAGAGGCCGTGCTGGACCTGGCTGCACTCCGGGCGGCTGGAGGGGAGGGCAAGGGCGGTGGGGTGAAAGCTGGAAGCCAAGTGAGGGAATGTCGTGCAGAGCGGAACGCCAGGTGATGGAACGACCAACAGGCGGCTGAGACGGTCACTTGGCAGCTGCGTGTCCAGCACAGCCGGGAGAGTGGGCCCGGAAGGGGCCCGGTCCCGGGGCACGACAGCGAGTGGGAGTCGAAAAGAAACTGGGCTGATCTGTAGCAGAGGGACAGAGAAGGAAGCGATATTATCCGCAGTTAGAGGCCAGATGATACCACAGATCTGCACCTGACTGGGCGTTAACGGGGAAAAAGAAAAGAAAAAAACTGCACGCAGTGTGTGACCCAAGTAGCCAGGAGGGCGACCTCATCATAAAGAGGAAGGAGCGTGGAGAAAGGGACTGGCCAGCAGAGTGAAAAGATCCGATTTAGTAGTTCAGTCCACGTCCCGCAGGTCCGTCATGGCTGCTGCTGTTTACTGACTGCTGACCACAAGGCGGGCGCTGGGCCGAGAGCACGCGTGCCACAGCTCCCTGGGCAGCACGGTCACGGTCACCTGGCAGACATGGAGGGGTGGGGCTGGGGCCCGGGACCGAGGGAGGAGTGTGAAGGGCAGGTGTGACCCTCGTCCCTGGTGAACCCTGAAGCGTGGGGCAGCCTGCAAGGGGATGGAAGGCGGCCAGGGACAGACGGACGTCGGAGGCGGGAGCAACACTGACGGCGCAGGCGGAGGAGGGGGAACCCAGCACATGGAGATCTTTCGAGGAGGAGGGACACTGGAATCTGACGGTAAGGGCATGTGCGGGGTGCCGGGGACCCGGGAGAGGGCCGCTGGAGCAGAGCGGCAAAGGCGCCAGGGGTAAGCGGGAAACCAAACAGACGCAACACGCAGGGGTCGCTCTCAGAAGAATGGGGTGACAACGGAAAGGAATGCGGTCACGCCGCAGTCAGGGAGAAGGGGGGGGGCATGTCAGGACGGCTGCTGACCCAGGAAAAGGGACGAGCAGGAAGGAAACACTAACGACACAAAGGGAAGAGTCTTTTCCCAGGAGGGGAGGGGCTGGGGTCACAAACGCAGACAAGGGCAGGGCACCAGGAGGAGAGGAGAGCGAAGATGCAAAACACCCCGAGATGGACAGTCTCAGAGTGTACACCCCAAAACACCGCCCCCTACTGCCCACCTCCACGCGTGAAACTCTCGTCTTCACCACAGGGCCCAGCGCAAACACCACAGTCCAGTCCACTTCCCGGTCCCTGCAGACGTCGTTTCCTACCAGTTCCCCACGTGGGCTGAATGGACCTCCTTCCCCTGCAAACACCCTAACCCCTTCCTGTGCCGGTGTATAAGTGAAACTTTACGTAGGTGAGCACGTACGAGAAAGAGCCCAGTACACATGGGGGTCGGTACACCCGCGGTCTCAGGCACCCCCTGGGGGTCCTGGGACACCCGCCCGCGGACGGAGGAGGACGACTGTGCTGCCTGTTCTCCACCCGCGTCCAAGACACTGAGCACAACGGCAGCCTGTTGGGCGAGTCAGGCTCGGCCACAATCACCACGACGACTCTGGATGTCACTTCAGCCAAAACTTATGCAGGCTTCAAGATTTCCAAACGTTCGCAATGTATTCAAGTGGTAACAGTTTTGGAAGGCGCTGGAGAAACGGTGCACCTCACCTTGAGAAGACGTGTACGGCTCCGTGTAATGCCCGTTATAATGCAGCTGGGGCGGCGGAGGCATCGCGTAGGGCTGAGGTTTAGGCTGAGAAACGGAAAGTTGGAAACAGGGTTAAACACACTGTTTTAACGCAACATACGTGAAGTCGTTCTCTGCTGGCTTCCTTCTTGCCACTGAGAAACTCCCGAAGGAGTCAGAAACATCAGACACGAGAAGTAAACACACAGACCCTACAGCTGCACCCGGCGTCTTCACCATCTCCCAGAAGGGCAAGGCCACACCTCCGGCACGGATTCAGACACCAGCACGAGAAAACATCGTGGACACGAATGTCCTAGATTCTTATATAAACATTTGAATACAAGAAGCTTACATGTGGAATAGTTCATCATAATAGGCACATGGCTCACCTTAATCAGCAGTACGAATTTCTGATTATGCTTGGCTAATAGTCAAAATTTTAAGTATTAGAGGTAGAATCTAACATTTCAATATGTGTAATACAAGTAGTACATAAATATTGGGCCCTGGCTGGCGTAGCTCAGTGGATTGAGCGCGGGTCTGCAAACCAAAGGGTCGCTGGTTCGATCCCCAGTCAGGGCACATGCATAGGTTGCAGGCCAGGTCCCCAGTAGGGGGTGTGTGAGAGGCAACCACACACTGATATTTCTCTCTCTTTCTCCCTCCCTTCCCTTCTTTCTGAAAGTAAAATCTTTTTTTAAAAATAAGTCAATAAAAAATAATTAAATACTGAGCTTAACCTATGGAAAAATCACCATTTCTTTGGTCAAAAACGATCATATATGGGACACACTTTTGTGGTTCAAACTAAAACCAGCACTGCCACGAGCCTGCTTTATGGAGAAAGACACATGACATCCCTGAAAGACAAACGGCCGCCGTAGTTTTCCTTCTTTCTTACCAGAGACATCCTTGAAGAAGACCTCCTCCTAATCAGGTTCACTGTGACGGTCTGAGTTTGCCTGCGAAACAAGACACAACTTTGAGAAGACCTTACATATATGTTCACACACACAACCTTCTAATTCTACCAAAATGAATGAATGAGGTAAAATGAAAAATGCTGTAATGCAAAAAGACAAAGTAATCCAATCACCAGTTTGTGCAAAGGGAGATTCTCTGTCCGTACGTGGGGCCTCTGCCCCTTCCTGCTGCCCGGATCTCTCTGACCACTCGGTCCGAGCCTCCTCGCAGAGCATCAGCTGCCTGGATACCAGAGGGGTCCACTGGAGTGACTTCCCCTGGTCCATCCAGAAGCCGCTGGAATGACCTCCAGCAGAGAGGAAGGGGGCGGAGCTAGGCCACCCACAGACGCATCCCAGAGGAAGCAAGATGCAGGGCAAAGGCATCTGTCCTGTGGGCCGGGTCGGCACTGAGCGCCCCATTACCAGAGCCCCAAAGCCAGAAGCAGCGGGGACTGTCCTTAATTAAAAGTCTGTAAATGTTAATGACGGGATACATCTATAACTTTGATAACTTAAGGATCTGCGTCTCTCCTAAGGAACTAAGCTAGGGAAAACAAAAAGGTAGGGAAATCGTTCTAGTGGGCCTGTGGTAAACCCATTTAGTCACCTCTCTTTCAAAAAAACTTCTGATTGATTTTAAATGTACTTTTTAAAAAGCAATGAGAATATTAAGGAGGGTGGACTGACATTTATCAGATAAGCGGAGAGTTTAAACTATTCACAAGGCCCATCTCTGAATACAATTAACTCAAAAAGGACCAAGAAACAAAAAAGCCCATTTGTAATTCTATCGTTCTTAAACAGAGGCAGGCATTTTTTGTTGTGTGGTCAGTTTTGTTGAAAATACGATCTGGGAACCTAAATACTGAGGATTCTTGGCTTTGTAGATGACTTACAGAATTTTGTCAAAGCACTCTAAAAAAACTTCTCACCATCTATCTGTTCCTGGCTCAGGAGCTTCCGGTACATGTAATTACTGGTCACAAAAAAAAAAATTTGTGACCTTTCATTATAGCACTCTCAGGACAAATTACTAGAAAATCCATATTACTAAGTGAGCACTCACTCCATTTAACCAGCACATTTCCCATAACATCAAGCCCCATGTCTCACACACCAACACTCCAGCACTCCAACAACTGGTATCTCATGTTCAAACCCTGCACATCAGCTCAACGTCAGGTGAACAGATGTCTCTCTCCAACAGATGCTCTATTCTGCCAGCATTTGTGTTGCTCAGCAGTGAAATGGATGCGGATTCTATTAGACACAGAAGCCCCTGCTATCAACTGGCAAAGTAGCACACGCGCTGGTAAAAAAGGAGGAGCCTCCTTAGTGAAACAGGTCAGGAGGGTGTGTCTGGGCTTTTATTTTTAACACTCCTTAACTGCATGTTAATATATTCCTAAAATCTGTGTCTGGAATCTGAAGACATTGCATTTTGCAGCCTTGAAATGTCCTCGGCCTTTGCTCCTTCTCTCCATCATCAGGGCTAGGTTCAGGCAAACTGGTCCTTGGAAGTTTATATTTAGTCCAGAGACTCACTGAAATGGACTGAACTTTTCAAGTACTATGAAGTCAAAACCCAGACGTGAGGAGAAAGGAGGATGCTGATAGAATCCTCCAACACGTCCAGAGCTGCCCAGCCTGCAGCAAAAATAAACTTAAGTGTGTTTAACACAAAGTCCAAGGACACGGAGCTTAGGACACAGGCGGCGACTCCCCACCCCACGCTCTCTATTTTGGCTCCCTGGCTGGCAGCACCCACGACTGGGGCGACACCGCCCACTGCAGACACTGCTTCTGCTTCACCCCCAAAAACTAGCACTGGCTCCTCCTGCCAAACTGTTTGACGGGGTCAGCCTCACCATCTGCTCCCATACCCTAACCCCCTCTTGCTTCTCGCCGGTGTCCTTGTAAACTGTGACTACTGTGAGGTCAGCTATCCTAAACTTAGTACACAAGAGAAGACAGTGGAACTGGTGGCTGTGTTTTCCAGACTTGGGAGGCAGTTCACCACCCTGACAGGTGCTGCTAAGATGAGACAGGTGAAGAACTCTTAGGAAAAAACCACTGGCATGTGTGTGCTGGAGAAGACGACACGAGAAAAGGCTGCTGGCCCAAGGAAAGGAAGCGCTTTAGTGGGGCCCACACCAGCCCCGTGAGGGAGGACGATCATTACCCCGATTTCACACGTGAAGAAACTGATACTCGGATTAAGTAAATCACTCCTGGTCACATGGGCAAGCAGCAGAACCTGAAGGAGGCGGTTCTGTCAGCTTCCCCAGCACAGGCTCCTGCCAGCTGATTATTCGTCCAACTCCCCCGCCCGGGCCCCAGGGACTTGTGAGCTCCCCGGAGGCCAGAGCGTACACCACGGCGTCGCCGCTGGCGGGCACACAAGGAAGCCCTCCGTGTTCGCTGAACAAACGATACAGTGAGTGAGGCAGAAAGTGATGCTTCTTCCTAAGCACTTACAGTTGAGCTCGTGTGTCTAACCGTTGTCTGAATTTTGCTTTGTGAGCTTCTTTTTTAATAGATTTATGGCTAGTGCAGAGGAATGAGATTTTGATGAACAAAAAAATGTGCTGGATGGTGGAAATACCTAGAAAATGTTAGTCTCTGCGGCTTTCCTCGAATGGAACAGCAATTACTCTACCTTCCCCCAGACCTGTCGCAGGGTCTTCAAACCCTGCAGCAGGCCTCGAAGAAGTGGGGCAACCCCCTCCACCTCCCCAGGCAGGGCCTTCTCCAGCAGTCTCCAGATCGCAAACATCTCCAGAACCCAGGGGACACCGGCTGCCCTGTCCATAGACAGCCCCAAACCGCAGGGAACACACGCCAGCCCTCTCACTGTGCTCAGCCAGCAGCTTGCTGGTGGGTGAAATCCCACTTCCCCCTCTAGAGAAAGTCTGTGGAAACTTCCACCACTCGGCTTTAGAGACAAGGGCAGGGGCAGGGGGAAGACACCATTCTCCACGCCCCTCCACAGTGAGGACAGAGAAAAGCCTCCTACACCAAGAACCCTGTCAAGACTCCTTTTCTCCCCCCAGCTTCTCCTCATGTAAATCCCAGAGGCTGATTACAGCATGACCAGTTCTGGGGCTGGGGAGGAGGACGGGAGGTTGGAAGAAGTCATTCACCTAAAAGACTGACGTTACCTTATTGAATTCCTACTCCAGTCCTAAGGGAATACTGAGTAAGGTCCTATTATCCCCATGTAATAAATTAAAAATAAAAACTGTTGTTATCTAACATTTTTAAGACTTGAGTGACACAAGGTGATCCTGTTACCTAAAACACCTTGTTTGAAAGTGGAGGGAGCAGGCAAGACTCATGGTGGACCATGCCCTTCTTTAAACTCTAAACTATGGTCATCTGGGCCAAGGGTAGATGAGTCTCATCAGGCCGTCCCAACACCATCATCCCGTCAATACGTATCAGGTCTGAGTGGGCGGCAAGGGGACCCTCAAGGAGTGAAGTCTCCCTTTCTATGCAAACGGAATCCATCCTGAGTCACCAGCGGCCCCAGCCTGGACCAGGCGCCCAGCAACCGCTGTCCAGCGCCAGGCCTGCTGCTGTCTCATGAAACACCCACAGCACCTGAGTATACCCTTTTGGACCACAAGGACACGTCTACAGCCACTTCAGAATTGTTGTAATACTGAAGGTCAAGGAACAGTCTAGGTTGAGAGCCTTAAGAGAAGTGACCATAAAAATTAAAGTTATTTTCCATTTTACTACCTATCAAAATACTAAAAGCTAAGAATTCATTTACTTTACCTGGGGACCGAGTGCTCACAATGCAACCTTTGTTTCCCACAGAATGAAGCGGATGTCAACTGTCAAAGATAATTACAGAGGAAAAAATGCTTCCTGGAAATGGACTTCAACAGTCTACTGCACGTACAGAGACTGAAACACAACGTGGCACCAATCAATACAGATGCCTCCTGGAAAAGGGATTACATTTCTGGTTTATCCAAAATAATTGGTTCTCCATTATGTTCCAGGAAAAGAATGAACTAAGGTAATGATGGCTCAATATTATGAACACTCTTAAACTTATGAAAGGCTTTATACTTATGAAAAGACTGTGTTCCAGCAGACCGCATGCCTACTCCTGGAATCTCAGAACACACGTCTGCATAAAAATAGCGTCACACATGGCTGAGTGGAGCCAGGCCCGCCCAGAGGAGCCCCACATGCAGCTCTCCTGGCCTGGCAACACCACTGAATCGAGCCAGCAGGAGGAACGCTTCCACCCACAAATGCACCCGGAACTCCTTGCCCGACAGCGAGCCGCGGCTCCCCACGCCCACAGAAAACAGGGTTGCTCCTCCCGGTCAGTCAGGGTTTTCCAAAGCCCCGTCACCAGACCAGCAGAGGGACGCAGATAAAACCACGGTTGGAGGGGCTGCAGGGAGAAGAGAGGAACAGGGGCCCAAGTGTCCCTCAGTAGATGGTTCTGCCCAATGGACCCCCCAAGCCTCTTCCTTCTCTTTTCTCTCAGGGCTCTCTGCATGTTTGGTCCTGACTGAGGTTTTCTTTACACCTGGGTCCCTGTAAAACACAAAGCACTTCCCCAGCCTTGCCTCTTCCTTCCTGGCCCAAAGGGACAAAATGTCCTTTTGAGATTTTTTTCGCCCCCAACTGGCAATCGGTAATGAAAGGACATCAACCAGGAGCGGAAGGGCTCTCCTCCCCCGCAATCCCATCACTGTGTCCCCCAGGCTTCCTTCATTCGTGGCCTCTCCATACAAGGCCCCTGCTGACCACGGGGCACAAAGAGGAACGAGAGGAGAGCCTGCCCTCGTGGGGCTCTGGCGGACAGGACAGGCAAACCCCACCCGTGTTGGAACAGCAGACACGCACTGCCCCAGTCTAGCACGCGGCCAACAGCACAGGCTCTAGTCGCCCTGCTCCCAATGACTAGTTACAGGCAGCAGAACACCGTCTCACATCTCCGAGTCTCCACACCTCCATCCAGAAAGGCGAAATAATAACTGCACCAGACAGAGCTGCTGTAAAGATTAAAGGAGATAAAAGCTCTCAGCACAATGCTTGACACAGAAAAGCATTTCCTGAATCATAATTATTATTATGAAAGTGGTAGGAAAAGACAGGACTTTGAGAGTGGTACTGAGGACTGAGCAAACAAAATGCATGGTGGCTACAGAGTGACTGCATTTAAACTGGACCTTGCAGGGTGACAAGTCTGCCAGAAGAGAGGAGGAGGGGCACATCAGCAAAGGCCTGGGGCTACTGTAAGGGCTGCTGGGTCTGGGAGCCAGGATCAAGAGGCGGCTGGGCAGATGGGCCCAGCGGGGCCACAGGAGTCTGCAGTAACCCCATAGCTAAGGAAAGGTGGAGGAGAGGAATGGGCTCAGGTCTGGGCCTGAGCTGGAAATCAGAACTCAGAGTGGTGCTCCATCTTTTGCTCATCTGGCAAAAAAAAAAAAAAGTTTTTATTCATTGATTTTTAGAGAAAGAGAAGAAGAAAGGGAGAGAGAAAAAAATCAATTTGTTGTTCCAGTTTTTATGCATTTATTGTTTGCTTCCTGTACGTGTCCTGACCAGGGATCGAATCAGATATATGTTGAAGGCAGAGCAGGTGGAACTTCCTGATGAATTGGATGTCAATGAAAGAGGTACAGGAATCAAGCAGGAATTAGGTAGGTTTTGGGCTGGTGAATACAGTGCTGTCATTTGTCAAAAAGGGGAAGAAGGGAAAAGCAGGTTGGGGGGCAGGAAGCAGAGGAGCAAATCGAGAGTTTGGTTTTAGACATATCGAATTTGGGGTGCCTCTTAGGTACCCAAGTGGAGACGTCACCTAGGCAAGTGCCCAAGTGCTCAGGGAGGAGATGAGGCCACATGCAAGACCAGACGCACTTTCAGCACAAGGAGGCTATTTTTAAGCCTGAGGCACGGCAAATCCCCTAGGGACCCAGTGGGTGGAGATGAGGTCTGAGGGTGAAACCAGCAAAGGTGAGTGAGGAGAAACAGCCTGGAAAGAGAACAAGCAAGCGAGGACGCAGTCCCCAGAGCCAAGGATCAGCTGGGTGCAGGAAGGAAGGGGTGGTCAGAGGGTAAGTGCTGCTGAGGGGTCAAGAGAAAGAACTCCTGAAATGTCCCCTGGGTGAAGGTCACTGTCGCCGGGAGAGGCGGTGTCAGTGTGGTGGCGGCCCAGGGGAAACAGGACGGAGGAGGGAGAGAACGCAGGCACGCACAACTCTGTTGAAGAAACTCGCTAGGGAGGAGAGCAGAGATGGGTGCTGCCGCTGCAATGTTTCCGGTGTGAGGTGTTAACAGCACGGCTGTATGCGGATGGGACCCAGCGATCCAGCAGAGGCGGGGGAGGGGATCCCACGTGGGCAAAGAAAAACGTACGTTAGGGAGAAGGGGATACATTCTTCAAATGGCTTAAAAAGCAAAAATCTTTAATTATACAAAATGCTGATTTGAAAAAAAAAAAGGCTATTCCCTTTCTAACTTCCAAGAATTAGGATGATCCTAGTAAATAAGGAAAACAGATCTTAGAGGCATATGTGTAGTTATTAGACGTTGGTCCAAAGCCAAAATGAAAAAATAATTTGAGAAATTTCGTTTTAACACATAAAGAGTTTACCATAAAAATCCTATTAGAACATCACTTTTCATAAAATCTCCCTTTCTAGATGACACAATACAACTCCAGATGGAAACCTCTGCACCGGTCGTTTCCCACAGTCCCCGGGGCCGGCCGCACTCACAGGCTGCACTGGTTCAGTCTGTAAAACCGGTGCCTCGCGACACACAGTCTCCACACGTACTTCGCCGTTTCCATGTCTTCCTGGCAAACAAAACATGCACAAAATGAACGAAAGCACATTTACAACTGGCTACAGAGTGCATCTGAGGACAAGACACAATTGGGTAACATATTACGTCAAGCCGCTTAACACACTGTGAGTCTTTCATTTCCAATACTGTGTCTTCACAGAGTGCTATAGTTAGGTATGAAGACAAAAAAAAAGCTATTCTAACAGTGTGATTCCTGGATTAAACAAGTTCCATGTGACTTAGAAATTTAAAAATTATGAAAATATCTATTTTATTTTGACAAATGGATAACTCAAAGACATTTTCAAACAAAACATTTGACTCAGCGACTCAATACTGCCTTTTTCAAGAGAGCAAAGGCAAATATCTGTGAAATAACCTATCTTCTGAGCCATTCACATATCAATAGAAATTAAGCTGTTAGTGCTTCCTTCCCCCTACTTAGTCCCTTAGGTTTAATTTAAAGACCATCATAATCAGACAGTATTCATCCAAGGACTCACTCCTTCAACAATATTACCTGAGCAACTGCCTTTGCCAAAGGTATTATGACAAAACTACTATTATGCAAAATATTATAAAATCTTACAATGTTTTATAAAACTGTAAAACATTGTAAGTTTAATGCCACCCCCGCAACATACACACAGAAACGCTAACTTGTTAACCCTCAGAAAGTCACCCGTGCGATTCCTACTGTCCACTCACAGTCTGAAACTGGACGGTCTCCTCTTTGCTCGCCAGCTCCAAGGCAAAGAAGGACTTGTTGTGGGACATGTTAGCGATGTCATGCCACCTGCAGAGCGACAGACAGAAGATGGCAACGTGAGTGCTCGTATTTGCACCAGGAGACAGATTCCTTCCTGTGCTTGACGCATACGATAATGTGTGTTAATTATTTTAGAAAGAAAACTTGTTTTAATCAGCTAGCATGTGTTTTCTAAGTGAACTGACAACACCTAGTTGCAGAAAGTAAATGCATGTATACCAAATACGGAGAAAGAGTGTGTCAAAATGTAAAATATATTTACCCTCACTTGCCACATTAATTGGATCAGAGATCCCTATATTAGCTGGTTGTCAGTGCCTCCTTTCTTCATTCAACAAACACCATGAAGGGCATGTGTTATAACAAGGCCAGAAATTCTATTAGGTCTCAGGGATACTAAGATCAGTAAGGCACAGCGCTTCCCTAGAAGGGGCACAGCTGGAGGGTGAGGGCAAACGAGAGAAGCACCCAAGTACTGTTCAGTTTCGTAGGCTGGATAACGTAAGACCCAAAGGTGGAGGAGGGGTGCTCTGACAAGCTTCAGGGTGACGATGAAGTTCAAATGCTAGGAACCCAAAGAGCCAACTATTCTATTCTGGATGTGTTCACCAGTATTCAAAATCCTACCTTGAGCTTTCTAACTGTATTTTATCATAATTAGACTTTATATATTAATATTTGATTTTATTACATAACTAATTTTATGAATGGGAAAATAGGTCTGGAAGAAAAACATTTTACCACTTTTATCTTCTCCATTATATTATTTAAAATTTATTAAAATAGCCCTGGCTGGCGTAGCTCAGTGGATTGAGCGCGGGCTTGCGAACCAAAGTGTCGCAGGTTCGATTCCCAGCCAGGGTACATTCCTGGGTTGCAGGCCATAACCCCCGGCAACCACACATTGATGTTTCTTTCTCTCTCTCCCTCCCTTCCCTCTCCAAACATATATAAAAAAAATTTTTTTTAATTTATTAAAATAAATAAAATTAATTTGTAGTGACCCAACATTGAACTGTTAAATCTAAAGATTATGATTATCATATTAAAGACAATTTTTGAAATTCCTATCCATGAGATGAAGGGAGCCAGCCAATGTCTCCAGTTTGCATGTGCCCTTCAGGCACAGTTGGGCCCGGCCCTTCCAGCGGGGTCCAGACCCAACCCCGCCCCCCACTCCCCAACTCAGCACACTGGGAACACGTAACGAGCACACGACAGCAATCGCCACGAGGGAGTGGCCAGGCCCAGTGCCGTCCAGTCTGGGAAGGGGGATCTGCTCCCCGGGCGGTGTTCACTCACTGCGGTCATCATAATCACCATGAGAACTCAGGGCCCCAAAATGCAGTAAAGCAAAGAAAATGAGGAAGAGATGCCCACTTAAACAAAAAACATCTCACTTCCGGCAAGATGGAGGCGTAGGTGGACGCACCATACCTCCACGCACAACCAAGATGAGAACAACAATTTAGAGGCAGAATAACACCCAGAACTGATAGAGAATTTATCTGAATGGAAGTCAGACAGCCAAGAAGTTGAAGTAGACCTGATTATCCAGACCTGTAGCAGGAACGGAGAGGAGCAGCCGGGCGCGGGTCGTGGCGCCCGAAGAACAGGGAGGACTGGGCACCTAAGACAACCGGGAGCGCGTAAGGCACCTGGGGCGCACAAGATCGCAGCGGGTGGACCCCAGTACACAAGCGGCGGCTGGTGGACCCAGTGAGGCAGCGATTGTGAACCAGGGCAAAGCTCGCAACCCAGGATCCCAGAGAAGGGACTGAGGTCCTAGGGGAACGAAGCGACCGTCATTGTTCCTTCCTGCCCCGCCCCCACGTACAACGTCATAATCTAGCGACTGGGGGGGCCCAGCCCTGGTGAACACCCAAGGCTCCACCCCTCACTGTAACAAGAGCGACCAGATCAAAAAAAAAAAAAAAAAAAAAGAGAGAGAGAGAGAGAGAGTGATGGCTCAAATAGAATAACAAATCAGTGCCCCAGAACTCATCCTTTTGAGCGACCAAGAAATAGCTAACCTATCAGATGCACAGTTCAAAACACTGGTGATCAGGAAGCTCACAGAATTGGTTGATTTTGGGTGCAAATTAGATGAAAAAAATGCAGGTTACCATAAAAGAGATGAAGGAAGATGCAAGGAGAACCAACAGTGATGGGAAGGAAACTGGGACTCAAAACAACAGAGTGGACCAGAAGGAAGAAAAAAAAAAAAAACAGGAAATAATGAAGAAATAGGAATTCAAAAAAATGAGAAGCTTAGGAACCACCAAGTCATCTTTAAACATTCCAACATCTGAATTATAGGGGTACCAGAAGGAGAAGAGGAAAAGCAACAGATTGAGCACGTATTTGAACAAATAATAAAGGAGAACTTCCCCATTCTGGCAAAGGAAATAGACTTCCAGGAAATCCAGGAAGCTCAGAGAGCCCCAAAGAAGTTGGACCCAAGAAGAAACACACCAAGGTACATCATAATTACATTAGCCAAGGTAAAAATGAAGGAGAGAATCCTAGAAGCAGCAAGAGATAAGGGGACAGTCACCTACAAAGGAGTCCCCATCAGACTGTCAGCTGATTTCTCAAAAGAGACCTTGCAGGTAAGAAGGGGCTGGAAAGAAGTATTCCAAGTCATGAAAGACAAGGACCTATATCCCAGATTACTCTATCCAGCAAAGCTTTCATTTAGAATGGAAGGGCAGATAAAGTGCTTCTCAGATAAGGTCAAGTTAAAGGAGTTCATCATCACCAAGCCTTTATTTTATAAAATGTTAAAGGGACTTATCTAAGAAAAGAAGACAAAGAGAAAAAAAAATCTTGAGAGGAATAACTAGTCCCCAAGAAGAAATAGTAGAGATAGTTTACAAAGCTTAAATGGGGTGGGGGTGGAGGAGTTTACTTTTAAAGGCAGGGTAAGGGGAATAAAAGAATCTGTTTAATACAGGGATAAATAAATGGTAAACACAAAGGAACCAAAAAAAACTGATATAATGTAAACTTTTAATTTTTTTTCAAGAGATGACAGAATCTAATATGGAGAATCTCAGTAAAACTGCAAATATTTCTATGAAATGACACTTTAAATTTCAGCTTATGAATTTTAAGGAATAAAAAGAGATTGAATGACATGCCCTATTTACTATCTTTAAGACATAAACTGGAGCCCAGGCTGGTGTGGCTCACTGGATTGAGTGCCAGCCTACAAACCAAAGGGTTACTGGTTCAGTTCCCAGTCAGGGCATGTGCCTGGGTTGCAGGCCTGGTCCCCAACAGGGGACCAGGGCGCATGAGAGGCAACCACACATTGAACTTCCCTCCTTCTTTCTCCCTCCCCTCCTCTCTATAAAAGTAAATAAATAAAATCTTTTAAAAAGAAAGATATAAACTGGAACACAGCATACTGAAAATGAAATTTAAGCCATCTGCAATTTCATTGTTCAGTGCCAGCCACTATTAGCACACCGCTACATATCTTTTCTGTTTCCCTTACTCCATACCTTCTAATCTTTCCATAAATGAATTGTATCATTTTTTTATAATCAGTAAAAAAGTAAACATTACAAAATGTCACTGAAATTTGCTTCTATGTTGGTATTTTAGGAATTTTGATACATTAACTGGAGTCAGAGAAAGCCCTAGATTATCCACAAGAAATAGCCCTAGAAACCAGAGCTCAAATGAAAAGTTCACATCATAACAAAGAACACCTCCATATAGTGAGAAAAGGGGCATGCGCTTTTAAGCATGCCGTAAGCCGACCATCATTGTAAGCGCTACTTTCTGCCCTTTGGTTCTGAAGAAAGTGGCTTACGGAAACAACCACTGCAGTCAGGGGCTGGTGTATTCCAGGGAGGGCATACTTCCATTTCCCAGTGAGACCCTGGGAGAGACTTATGAGCAATATAACCAGCCTAGGGACTAAAAAATACCGCCAACAGGAGCCCCAGAAAGTACACAGAAATATGTAAGAAAGGTACCGAAACATCACAGGCGGCCTTCCATTCTTGTGTTTCACGAAGATGCCTTCAAGACACGCTCCCACGGCTATGTCACTGCCTTGGCTATCCTACAAGGAAAGGAAACACTCGGGCAGCAGAGGCAGAGAACCACAGCCACTCCTCGCTCCCTGAGCCTGCGCCCATGAAATGTTCAGACCCCTTCAAACTGTTCTGAAGGGGACAAAGTTATGAATGAACCACCTTGTGAATACGTGTGAGTACGGGAAGAGATGGACTCCTTAAGGAACTCTCTTCCAAGAGCATTCAAAGAACACACTGCAAAACACAAATATGTTTTACCTCAAAATTTTGGCCACAAGGACGCCGGCTTTTAAATTTCCAGCCTTTCACGCGTGCTCAGCATGCCTCCCGGGGGCCTCCCCACTGCCCCCGCGGAGTTGCCGAGGCTGATTTTGGAGAGCCCTGGCCTCCGCCCCCTACTCACCTTCGCAGGGTAGATCTCCTCCCCGTAACCTTCCATCCTCTCCACCTCCTGCATGTACAGCATTTCCGCATCAGGAGCTGGCAGCCCTCTGCAACCCAAAGGGTGTGAGTGAGGTTAGTCACGAAACTAAAACCAAAAACGAAGCCAACAAAAAGAAGCTTCTCTAAAACACTGCAGATGAATTTGGCATAGAACACTATACACATTTTAAGTGTCTAAGCATCTGTAATTGCCTGTATCGATCCATCAATATCAACTGAAAACTGACTATACGCAAAGCACTGTGGGCCACTGAGGGTTAGTTACAGAAGACTCTGCCCCTCGTACTTTAGGCAGGCAAGGGGAACGCAGGGAGTAAGACAACCCTCTGAAATGTCTTCGGTAAAAGGTAAAATTCTCTCTAACCCACTGAGTAACTGCTTACTTTCCAAAGTATCGGGCAATACTAAGCATCGTGTGTTAAATGCCAAATGATGCAAGTGCAGGAAATAATGAGTTAGGAGGACAGAAATCCTTTCTTAGCTCCAGTGACGGAATCGCAAGGATGGGTGGGAAGGTGGTGCGGGTAAAGAAAGTGCTCAGCTGCAGGGAAACTTGCCTCTCCAGCCTCATGTTTTGCTGCTCCCCCACACCCATAGGGCACCCCACACTGCCGCCATCCCAAACTCCGCATTTCTGTGAGTACACCATATTCCCTCGTGCCCCTGGGCTTTTGCACATACTAATCCCTCTCCCTGGCCTACCTGTCACTCACCTGTGCACCTGGTCAATCCCTAATATCCTCTCAAGATCTTGCCTATGTATCTCTCACTCCTTCTCTATCCCTCACTGTGACCCCTGAGTCTACGTTAGATGTCCCCGCTCTACACAGGCCCCCCAGATTCTGTGCACATTTCTCCTGCTGCTCCCGTATTCTACTCTTAGAATTACAAGAACTACCACAGCCAGTAGTCCTGCCTGCCCCTTGGACTGCAAGGCAGGAAATACATCCTCGGATGGCAGGGGATTGTTCCGTTTATCCCTGCACCACTCCATCCGGCACTCCACCTCACAGAGAACAATCATCGGAAACTGTCTTCTAAGGGGATGCACAAATGAATGAATGAAAGTAACAAAAGACAAGGTGATATGTGCCCAAGGGATTAATTGTGCTGGGAAAACATGGTTCATTCGGGACAGCAGAAGGTAAAGCTGGAAAGGCAGGATATAACAATTGACAGGAGACCTTGAATCCCAGGGGTAATGAGCTCAAGTGAGTGAAAAGCAAAAAATTCATGAGCATTTGAGAAAGGGGGTGTGGAGGGGTAGATGAGAGAAAAGTGATGTTTTAGAAGATTAATCCTTAGTGAGCAAGTGTATGGATTTGAGTGGAGAGAGACTAAAGGCAAAAGGTTATTTTTAATGGGAGGGGATGAACAGTAAGTAATAATTAGACAGACCTGGGTTCAAATCCCACCTCTACCACATGTAACTTTGGGCAAGTTATTTAGTCTTTTTGAGCTTGGCTTCCCCAATCTGTAAGGAGATAATAATGTTTACCTTAAAGGGTGGTTATAAGAATTTAAGGATACATCAAGTACTTGGAACTGTGTATTTGGTCTAGAAGAAGACCTAGAATTCTCTAGGAGAGGATTTTTCTTGTAGACCAGTATTGACTCACAATCAAAGAAAGTCATGTAATAAGCACTACAGCTCGTAGCACAGACGGCGTCCCTGGAAGACAGAGATTCAGCTTCCAAAGGTATGCAGGGAGGGAAAGAAGCCTGCACTTGCTGCATCACAAAGAAAACACATCTCTCCAGTCTTGACTCCATCTACAAAGGACGAGGTTAGCACCCAAACCTTAACACATGGGGTGGCAAATGGGCACCCTTCAATGACTGGCTGCTTTCAGCGTTCTCAGCTTCCTCACTGATGCAACATGGGTAACAAATGAGCTAATATGGGTAAGTGCTGGGACCGGCACCTGGCCCAGAGTGAGTGCCATGAAAATGCTGGCGACTCACAGCAGTGGCGGCAGTTGCAGCAGCAGCCTCGAGTCCCAGACTGATGTGTGGCGATGCTCCCTGCAAGTCCAAACAGGCATTAGTTCTACACTATTCCCATGTCTCCTTTTCGTAGCGTTACCTGTATTTCTGATGCAGTAAGGCCACTTTTTGGGTTGCTTCTTCCAGTACTTTTTCATCTTGTAACCACCCCTGAAGAAAACAAATGGCAGTGAGTATGTAAACAAGTCACCCCAAATTTCTTAGGAATAATCGTTGCTACTGACTAACCAGCTTGAGTCACCATGAGGCACAAGTAGGGATGGTTTTAATATGAGGGCCCTTTGCTTAAGTACGTAATCACGATCTTTCTAAGGAAATAAGTGGCTTCTGCTCAGGAGGCAAACGCTTGCCCTGCCTTCTCAGAGTTTGTCCCAGAGAAAGTTTCAGCTGAGTTATCTCAGGATGGTAACATCCAACAGCCAATGTCAAACCCGGCACAGCAAAGGCGTTTGTGCGTCCCTGGTGGGCTGTGCGGATGGAAGAGCAGAGCTGTTCCAGTGCACAGTGTTCCTATACTCGGCAGCGACTACGAAAAAGTAGAAGGCAGTGTCTTTTTTTCATCTACTTTGTACACTGTTGTTGAGAAGCCAAATGTATTTCAGCATAATTTTGTGAGGTTTCAAGCCTTCGGTTCAAAGCAAAGCCTCTGTGTGGTTCCTCAGAAGCTGGAGATGGATCCCTCCCTTTAGACTCAGATCCAAGCATAAGGCAAACTTCTCTGGCTACGGACCCTTCAGTGTCTGCGGGCTGACCAGGACCAAGGAGAGCATAACGGGACAAGCATTCGTATTTGTGCTGTTCATAAGAGGGAAGTGGTTTTCCAACACTGCTCCTGTGCAGTGCGTCTACCATATGGACTTCGTTTCAGGGATTATTCAGGGCATGGAAATAAACTGTTCACACAAAGGCCGAACATCAAAGGGAGTCTTACCACGGGAAATAAGGCGAATTTCTGAAGAAAGTCCTGGGATTCATACTGATCAAAGTCACCAAAATCAGCTAGACGAAATGACAAATATTCACGTCAGCTATGTTTAATTCGTGTAGCAAAACATGCACAACTAAATTCAATATGCAGTATACAGATGGTGTGCTTATAATTCAGAAGTCAAATTTGCTTTACAGCTATAAAGTGTATGTTTAAAAAATATCATTTTGAAAAGTTAGGTAGATTCATGTGTCTTGACTAGGGAAAATGTCTCTTAATAAAGTGAAAAAAAACACAAACTATATGTAACATGATCTCACTTTTACAATTAAAAAAACAAATATAACTACCTTACTTGTGCATAGAAAAATGTCAGGAAGAAACCAAAGTGATTACCAGTAGGAAATGGAATCAGATCATTTGAATACGTTACAGCAAGATGTACTTGCTTGGAAATTTGTAGTTTTAAAATAAATTGATAGTTCAACAACTATCGAGTTTATGAAAAACTAACTCTTCAAGCCAAAGATGACATTTCAGAAGATTCAAACTACCTAGAAAGGAAATGTGGTTCCATGTGTATTAAGCATGTATTTGTCTAGAAATGATAATTATCTCCATGCTTGCTACTAGCTGAAGGAATTTTATAAATAATTTTTCTGATTAAATTTCAATCCCCCAAATTAAATGCCAGTTATCATTTGAAATAATGCCCCACGAGAAGTCTTTCCAAACTATGTGTGCATGCATATCCACATAAATGCATATAGATTGGGCATGTGAAAAATGACAGAACTCAACAATTCAAAAAAAATACTCACGAAATGCAAAACTTTATCTATTATGACTGACAATGCTCTATAATCCAGGACAGCTGTTTAAGAAACCAAACAAATGACATGTGTCTAAAGTGTAAGTAATCATAACCTCGTCAACCTCATTGTTCAGCTGATCTTTCTTCCCAAAATATTAGCTAGCAGCAGATCCTTGAACTAGAAAAATACATAGTGTGTTAACTGCTGTGTGTGTGGGGCGGCGGGGGGTGGGGGGGGTCCTCTATTTTTGGTCTGTTTCTCTGTGGACATATGATAACATGCTTATCCTTCCAAAACTCTCAATTCATTGAAGTAATCCACATTCATTTTCTCCCACAAGGAAGATCCTTGGATAACGGAATAATATTTCACTAATATGTTAACACTACTATAGAAAGTCAGTTACTTTACGAATCCCTTGCTCTTTTCCTTATTAACATTTTTAATCTGGTAGCTCTATTACATTATCAATCGTCATTATTTACCTTGAACAGCTAAGCCTGCTAACTGAATTGCTTGCTCTAATGTACAAGGAATGTTTCCTTCCAAGATATCTTTCTTCAGCTGCAGATAATACTGATACCTATAAAAAATGTCAATATAAATAAGTCAATGTCAACATTACCTCCGATTGGGACCATGCATTTTACCGTAATTTGGTAGAAGAGCATAAACTAGTCAAATAAAATCTTAACCCAAGATGGTTTCAAAGAATGACAAGAACCTTCTTGATCATATCTACACTTACACACACACACACACACGAAATGTAATCCACTTATCCTTAGCTGTAGTTACTCTGCATCTATAACCATGTGGGAGACAACTGGCCATCTATCTGTCTTAGGGGCCCTGGGAGACAGTCCCTACACACAGCTCTTGTTAGTTGGAGAAGCAGAGACTCAGCGGCCAGTCTTCACTTTAGAAACTCTCACCAGGAACTTGGTAACAGGAGACTTTGCTTGCTCCGGCCAAAGTTCCCTAGCCCTGGAAGATACAGCCAGAAGAAGGTGGTTCCTGATATTTCAGACCAGGCCTATACTGAAATATTTTTGGATGAAATCCCAAAAAATAATAGCTGCTAAATGCTTTCTTAATATTCTTGTAAAACAAGTTTACTTCTTTTTACACTTTCGATATACAGGGCACGGGTTGTCGGCACAAGCCTCAGTCGAGCAGGCCTAGGGTGAATTCCAGCTCTCTGACTTTGCCTTCTGCACGGATTCGAGCAAGTTGTCATCTGTGGATTTAAACCGTCACCGGCAAAATGAGGATACGTCATCTTCACAAGGTTGAACATATTCAAGGAATATAATTTAAAGCTTTCAGCACAATACTCGAACATAACTGGCACTCAATAAACCACATTATCATCATTATCAGTAATCATCTACTTTAAGCCAGTCACCAGAATTTCACCTGTTATCACTTCTCCGTTTCGGTAAATCTCTACAGTGGAGACTTATTCTGCCTCCCGTGTATTTATTCACCAAACAGGTGATTACTAGGACCTACTATGCATCCAGCAGTGCTCTAGATGCTGGGAATATGATGTGAAATGAGGATCCACCAACTGCCAATACAGTCATGAGAAATAATGCCTTAAGAAAACATAACACGCAAACCTGAATTCAAAACTGTTTAAACCGAAGAATTAAAGAGATTGCACATGTTAATTCTAAAGCCAGCATTCCATAAACTTGCCCAAAAGCCAAATATGCCAATTAAAACTAAATGAAAATAGTCTAAAGCTTTATCAACTTATCAATCAACTGTCTAACATAAAATATTTTTACACAGAAAATATTATAATAAATAATATAATAGATGTGGTGCCCCGTTTTACACAACAGAAATTTTAAATAATACTCAATAGAGTAGTCTTCGTGTGTTTTTCTTGGATTAGTCATAGAAGGCTAGTGTGTAGGCATGTTCATTTCTATATTTCTAAGCTTTAGTACAGAAATTCTGAACAGATACACAGAAAACAAGCACAAAGAGCCCCGACAGCCTTGTCGTGCAGCCTCACCGACCATCAGCTTCGTGCCTGACAGGTTTCCTCTACCCTCTCCCCTTCCCCACTCAGAGTGTGTCACAGCAAATCCCAGGTACACCACAGCACCTACAAATAAATACTTCAGCATACATCCCCAAAAGGTAAGCTTAAACCCATACACACGCACACACGCTTTTAGCATGCCCAGCAAAATGACTAGTAATGCCTTAATACTGCCCTACCCAGTCCACATATAAATTTGTGTGAGTGCATCTGAATGTATTTTTAGCTTTTTTTTTTAAATCAGGATTCAAAGAAGGTCCGAGGTTACATTTGATTGTTATTTCTAAATTTCTCTTAATTTTAAAAAAGATGCCTCCTCTGTATTTTCATGTTACTTACAGGCAAAATGATGTGATTTGGCATGCAGAATTTTCCACATTCTCGAACTGTCTCATTTGTACTCTCACGGGGCCATTGGATATGCTCATGTATTCTCCACTTTTTCCTGTGAGCCACTGGCAGATACAGAGCAGCACTGTCCAACAGAACCTTCTGCAGTGGTGAACACGGTGTACGTCGCACTGTCCCAGGGAGTAGCCACTAGGGAGTGGCCAGTTGGCCACTGAGTACTTAGAATGCTGCGAGTGTGACTGAGGAACTGGGAACGGCCCCGTGAAGGAACATGACTTGGCGGAGAGTACAACCGCATGGCATATGAATGCAATAGCTACAGCATCTCCAGAGCTCTGAGGTTACCCAGTAAATGGAAAGAAGATGCTGAGGATGGTGGAACAGTGAGAGAGAAAGAGCAGTCTTTGGAGACTCTGTGGAGCTACCATACTCGCTCTGCGTGGCTGACCTCTCGCTTCTTTTATGGGAGAAGGCAAAGGTATTTAGGGTTTTTGTTATATATAGCCATACTTACAACCCGATACAACTTCTCTATCAGGTTCTCCTATACCCAACCAATGTGCAATCTACTGGCTGAAGCTACCAGTGCCATTCCCTCTCGGCCCTTCCCACAGCTAATGCCTGTGTTCAGGTCCACATCGTACGCTAATGCCTAGGCTACGGCATGCACAATCCTGACTGGTCTCCTGCCTATACAGTCTCGCCACCTCTGATCTACCTTCTATGATGCATGCTCTTTGTAAAATGCAAACATCATCATTCCATTCTGTTAAAGTTCAAAAATGTCTCTCCTCATTGTACCGTGACTTTATGGCTAAAACACTCCTACTTTTCAAGTCTCCTCTTCCCTCTCTGGGTAGTATCTCAAATTCCCTGAAAACATCAGTCCTCCTACTTAGCACAAGCTATTCCCTCTAACTAGAAAGTTTCTTCTCAAGTCAATTAATGAGCTGACTTCTTTTCTTTCCCTGTTCACCCTCCTCAAACCCAACCCCTAGGAATCCAGTGCTTCAATTAAAGCATTTACTGTCATCACAGACCATCAGTGTTTCTTTACATGGACGGTCAGTTTCAGACTATGAGCAACTCCTCCAGGGTAGGATTAAAGCATATTCACGTGTATATTTATCTCCCACAGTAACCAACATAGTTCCTACGTCATATCTCACTATATCTTCAATGAATGTTTAAATAAATGCGTCAACGTGATCAGTTGCTGCTTTTTCCCTTCTGGCTTCTCTTCTCCCTTCAACACTAATCTCTCAGATCTGTTTTATAGTCCGTGTGTATTTATCCCTACTACCTGATTTTTGCTTCTTTGGTTTTCCATATGCTTCCAGTAATTGACCGGCAAACTCGGAACTTAAAAGGAACATTCCACAAACAGGAGGCAGTACCAGGTTCTCACTATCTGCAGGGCACTGGGTTAGATATTATGTGAAAGGTAAAGCTAAAGAAAACATGGGTTTAAAGTCTTTTCAAAATGATAAGATACGTATGCAAATAGCTTAATGAAAGGCTGTGACGACTGCCATCTTATCACAAGTACAAGCAAACTCTAGGACAGCCCGGAGAAGGCAAAGCTCCTTTGAGCCTGGGAAGCTTCATGGAGGAGGTGCCTTTTGAACGAAAATTCAGAAGATGAATAGGATTCCACTTCATAAATAAGACAGAAATATCTAAACCTCAAAGATAAAAAGGCAAGAGGCATGTTCCAGGCACTGGAAGTGTCCCGCTTGACTCAAAGGTCATGTTAAACAGGGTGAAAAGGATAAGTTAATGGTGGGTTTCAGAGAACTTTGACAGGGAGGCTCAAGAATCCAAATTTTATTCCATGTGTTTTGGTTTGGTTTATCTTTTTTTTAAAAAAGGAATATTTATTCCTCTCTCCCACTCCTTAATATGATCTTCCTGTTCTGCCTTCCTGTCCCTTTTAAGTGGACTCATTAGCTAAAATTTTCTGACCTTAAACACTTCCCGCCTCTCCTCCCCCTCCCACGTGGCTACATGGTCTAGCTACTGGAGTCAGAGAGCTAGGACCCTATGGCACACTTTCTTGAAGAATGAACACAGATTCGGTGATGAACATTTTTTTAAATTCCTCTCTCGTGTCAGCGCTAGAAAGCTCAGGAACAAATCAACAAAAACACTGAAGGTGACTTCACTGCCAGAAGAGTTCACAGCCAGGGTAAAACACTGTCCCCTTAGTCATTCCTTCACACCCAGGGTGCCCTTCACTCACGCACGCAACGTGCAATGAAGCATTCGGACATACCACATACCAGAACCTTCGCGCGATAGCGTGGCTGAAAGTGTGGGGCAGGAGGGCGAAGTTCAGCTGTATCTCCCAACTGCAACCTCAGTTTCACTTTTTTAATCTCGCTAGATTATTTCCCCGTATTTCTCACCTGGTAATCTCCTGCTGCAGCTGTGACACTGAAGGCACATAAAACACCACTCCAAAATAGACCGTAGGTTCCAAGGCGTATTTATCCAGCTGCTTCTTGAGAGGTTTTTCTAAATCTACCCAGCGGCGCTGATTTTGCTTGTTGTAGTACCAGAGGCTGAAGTAAGTGATCTGGGAAGAGGAAAAGTCACTGAAGGAGGCAGACACGCACAAAAGGGTCTCTGTACAGGAATCGCTCTAATCCATAACCTGGGACCAAGTGACGGCAGTCTCCTATTGCTTCGCTTCTCAGAAAGGGACAACAGCAAAACCTGAGGGAGAAAAAAGAGTCAAGACCTCTCTATATCTACATGCTACCCATATGCAGGAAAAAGGGGCAAAAAGTCAGCGACTCTTGTAGGCTGTTTCTTAAACTCTGCACAAAAAAAGTGCCTTCGTGGCCTAGACATCAGAATGCAGTGGGTGCCAGGAAATTTTACACAGTTTTTAACAAAAACCATACACTGAAGAAACATTTAGGTTTCCAATTATTGAAATAACTAAATTTATTATAATGAATGTGTTGTAATAAACAAACCTGGGGTCCTACCTAGTAGAACTCTGAATAGACAGTGTTCACCCAACCTTTCACTACTCCAAAATTTGGCTCCTATAAGTAAAAAAATTCACGTAAATATTGTAAATTCTAGTAATACTAATGCAATAGCAAAACTGCAACTCCTCTTGGCCACCAGAAGTTCATTAGGTACAAACTTAAAGCAACTGGAATGTTATGGAGGTAAATTCTCCTTCTCTCCCTCCTCCCTCTCCCTCTCTCTCTCTCATGCACACACGCACGCATGCACACAATACCTAAAGCAGTAAAATCACTTAAGTGTATTACTCAGAGGTTTTTAAAAAATGCCCAGACATTTAGCTCTCACTTGCTGTGTAATGAAACTGTTCAGGTAAATCTGTACTGACCCTGGGCTTGGTCAACCTGAAAGGGCATTAATGCACTTAAGAATTGAAATGATAGCCCCAGGCCACTGCTAATATTTACCTCCTTTGAAAGCAATTTATAGTCAAGATAATTGCAAAAAGCACCGCTTTGCTCTAGAGCCAGGGGCGTCCAACTGGCCACATGCAGACCAGGACAACTATGGATGCGGCCCAACACAAAATCGTAAATGTACTTAAAATCTTTTTTTTGTTCATCAATTCTCATTAGTGTTTGTGTATTTAATGTGTAGCCTAAGACAACTCTTCTTCCAGGGTGGCCCAGAGACGCCAAAAGGCTGGACACCACTGTAACAGACTCTAGAGCAACACTCACTACACAGGAGAGCTTTCTATGCTGATGAAAATGGTCTGCAGCTGCTCTCTCAGCAGCCACTGGCCACAGCAGCTACTGAACACTTGCAATGTGGCTAGTGGAGCTGAGGGACTGAATTCTTAATGTTATTTCATTTTTCTGTGCAGAGGGTACTTTTTTAAATTTTATTTTTCAAGAGCATTTATGAAAACCCATAGCTAACATCATACTCAACAGTGAAAGACTGCTGGGAAAAAAACAAGTACGTCTGCATCCACTACTGCTATTCAGCACTGTACTGGAAATTCCCGCCAGGTAAAAAAAAAAAAAAAATGAAATAAAGGCACCCAAACTGGAAAGAAGGAAGTAAAACTATATCTACACACAAAAGACATGATCATATATATTTTTAAAATCCTGAAGATACCCTCATCAAAACAAAACTACCAGAGGTAATAAATTCAGCAGAATTGCAGGGTATAATATCAACATGCAAAGATCAGTATGGATTCTGTACATGAGGAATGAAGAACTCAAAAAGAAAACTAAGAACAAGCCCTGGCTGGTATAGCTCAGTGGATTGAGCGCAGGCTGTGAACCAAAGCATCGCAGGTTCGATTCCCAGTCAGGGCACATGCCTAGGTTGCGGGCCACGTGAGAAATGACACATTAATGTTTCTCTCTCTCTCTCTTTCTCCCTCCCTTCCCCTCTCTAAAAATAAATAAATAAATAAATAAATCTTAAAAAAAAAGAAAACTAAGAACACAATTCTATTTATAATAGCATCCAGAAGTATAAACATCTAGAAATAAATTTAACCAAGGAGGTGAAAAGGCTTCTATACTGTACAATACAAAACATTGCTGCAAGAAATTAAATGGAAAGACATACCACGTACATGGATTAAACACTTAATATTGCTAAGATGTCAAGACCACCCAAAGTGATCAACAGATTCTAATGCAATCCCCATCAAAATTCCAACAGCTAATATCAAAGAAATAGAAAAGCCAATTCTCCAATGTATAAGGATTTACAAGGGGCCCTGAATAGCCAAAACAATATTGAAAGAGAACAAAGTTGAAGAACTCACACTTTCTGATGTTAAAACTTACTACAAAGCTACCTTAATCAAAACAGCAATGTACTGGTATATGGAGAGACATATAAACCAATGTAATGGAATGGAACCCAGAAATGCAGCCATATATCTATGGTTAACCGGTTTTAGATGAAAGTGCCAAGACCATTCAGTGGAGAAAGAAGAGCCTCTTCAACAAACAGTTCTAGAACAACTAAAGTTAGAGCCCTACGCTTTACACTATACATAAAAAGTACCTCAGCCTCTGTACAGTCTGGCTCAGTTGATTGGAGTGTCATCCCGTTCATCAAAGAGTTGGGGGTCTGACTCCCAGTTGGGGTGTTGGGAACCGCCCTGCCTGGTTTCAGAAGGTATAACCCCCCATGGCTAAGGCTGAGGGGGTGACCTTTGTACCATAAGCCACTAAGGAGACAAAGCTTATCTCCCTGTCAGGGGCACTGCGTCTGCTCCTTTTACTTCACCCTGCCTGGCCCCCAATACTTGATTGGCTAGCCAATGATGGGTAAGATTCCTCAAGGGAGGGATGACCTAAGACAGGCACCATCATGGGGGCCCCCAGGGAAGGACTTGGAGGGGCCACAGAAAAAGGGGGTGATAGACCCTCACCCCTTGACTTTGGCATAGCCTTAGTCCTCATTCTGTCTGCAAAAAGCCTCCTAATCTCTTGGCTGCCTTACTTCCCCTGCCTGACTTAAACCTGAAACAATGACTTAAGCCTGAAACAATGCTGGAGGTGGGTGCTGCCCTGTGCTGGAAAGGGCAGGTTCCCTAGGGTGATCAGGCCTAAGAAAAAAATGCATAAAATCCTATGAAACCTGCTTTGCTGATACCCTCAATTTAAATGATAAGGGTCCAAGCAGGAAGTGAGTTTGTTCCCCCAAGTTTTATGGCCCTTTAACTATCTGACCCTGACTCAGAATATGCCCTCAGAGTTCTTTGAATGTTTTCTATTGTTTGATCATTACTGCCTGAGAATGATTGATGAGCTTTATGTATATACCCTGTATTCCTATTCAAGTTGAATCCAATAAAAGCCTGTCCAGGCAAGGGTCTGGGCGCTGTCCTCTTGAGAGGGTGGCCGAGGTGCTCCAAGGCTTGCTCTCCCCTTGAGACAAGAAGCCGTGCTGTCCCTTTTCCTCCACAGGACTCAGTAGTCCGTGTGAATTTGTCTTGTATGTCATCCATAACGCTGCTGACACTGCGGGCCAGTATCCATGCCACTGGGGCACCTTCCTTGGTTGCAGCTTCAATCCCCACCCCAGTTGGGGCACATATGGGAGGCAACCAATCAATTTTTGATTGCTCTCTCTTGCTCTCACTCTCTTCCCCCACTTCCTCCCTCTCTAAAATCAATAAACATATTTTGTAAAATTTTCAGTAACTCAAACTAGATCAACAACCTAAATATAAGAACTATAAACACTCCAGAAGAAAAAACACAGAGGTAAATCTTCACAACCTTGACTTTGGAAATGGATTCTTATATATGACAACCAAAAGCTTGAGCAACAAAGGGAAAAAAATAGGTACATTTCACTTCACCAAAATTAAAAACTGTGTGCATCCTAGGACCAAATCAAGAAAGTAAAAAGGCAAATTATATAGAATAGGAGAAAATATTTGCAAGTCATCTATCTAGAATCTAGGATATATAATGGACTCTCACACAACAACAAAAAGACAACTCGAATTTTACGAGGGCAAAGGACTTGAATAGATATTTATCCAAGGAACACATACAAATGGTCAACAAGCACACGAAACATGTGTCACATCACTAGTCATCGGGCAAATGCAACTCAGAACCACAGTGAGGTACCACTCCACACACATCAGGATGTGAAGAAACGGAAGCCCTCATGCATTGCCAGTGGGGATGTAAAATGGTTCAGCCACGATGGAAGACAGTTTGGCAGTTCCTCAAAAGTTAAATACATAATCATCACATAAGCCAGCAATTCCGCTCCTAGACATGTACCCGAAGGAACAGAAAACAAGCAGTCAAACACACGTACAAGCATGCCCATAGCAGGTCTATTTGCAATAGCCAGAAGATGGAAACAATTCAAATGTCTCTCAGTAGATGAAAGGATCAACAAATTCTGGAGTGCACATGCAATGGAATATTATTCAGCCATAAGAAAGAAGCACTGATACATACTACAATGTGGATGACTTGCAAAACCATTATCCTGGGCAAAGGAAGCCAGATACAAAAGGTCACGTATTGTATGATTCCATTTAAACGAAATATCCAGAGCAACAGAAAGTAGACTGATGGTTGTTGGAAAAAGGGAAGGGGATGTGGGGTAACTGCTTAAGGGGTGAAGGGTTTCCTTTTAGGGCAATGAAAATGTTTTCGAACTGGACAGAGGAGGTATTGTGAATGTACTACATCACTGAATTGTTTTACTTTAAAATGGTTAAATTTCTGTGTGAATTTCATCTCAAAGAAAAAAACTTTTAAGGGTCAGAAACACTTGTAATTAAAATCAAGTACAAAATTTTAAAGCTTTACTTTTAAATGTTTAAATAGGTCAAATTCAGATTTTTTGAAACCGTCTAAGAGGGAAAAAGGAACGATAAACAGATGAGCCTACCCATGAGTTAACTGTATTATCTGCTTCCTAATATCTATATTCCGGTCTTCGTTTACTTAAAAGGTAACACACACCAGGAACTATTTTTTTACATACAAGAAACCTTGGTATAGACAGGGCCCTGTGCGCTCTAAATTTCAACTATTACCAGTCATTACGTGGTGTGACAGTTTC